TGGAGAGTATAAAGGGGAGAATGTCACATTGAAAAATGCGAGGGAGGTCGGTGCGGATAGGGATTATCCTGATACGGATAAGGTGATGAAGTTTGTTGTTTCTGGGAATCAGGTGGATGACGAGTCGAGGGTACCGGCTGTCTTGAGAAGTGTTCCGTTTCCGGAGACAAAGAGTCAAGTGGACCAGCACTTCAAGTTTGAACGGTCCAATGGCGAATGGAAAATCAACGGCGTATCGTTTGCGGATGTGGCGAATCGCGTGCTGGCGAGACCGAAGCGCGGAACTGTGGAGGTGTGGGAGCTGGAGAATAGTAGTGGTGGGTGGACGCATCCTATTCATATCCACCTGGTGGACTTTAGGGTCAAGAAAAGGGTGAATGGGAAACGCTCTGTGTTGCCGTATGAGGCACAGGGGTTGAAGGATGTGGTGTGGCTGGGGCCGGGCGAGACAGTCACGGTGGAAGCGCACTATGCCCCTTGGGATGGGGTGTACATGTTCCACTGCCATAATCTGATTCATGAGGATCATGAGATGATGGCTGCTTTTAATGTGTCTGTCCTCCAGGATTTGGGGTATGACGAGACGCATTATATCGATCCGATGGAGGAGCGGTGGCGGGCGAGGCAGCAGAGTGTCGAGGCATTTGATGACAGCGCCGTGGAAGCGAGGGTGAAGGAGATGGCAGGGTTCAGGCCGTATGATAAGGTCGAGGAGGTGGAGAGTGTGTTGGAGCAGTATTGGGAGACAAAGACGAAGACGGCGGCGACGATCCCGACGACAACGTTTGCTACTGTGGTCCCTACCAGTGCTGGGGTCTTCACTACTTCGTTCAAGACTACGACGACCAGTAGCAGTTCCTCGACCAGGACTTCATCGACGAGTACGAAGAAGAAGGATTAGATTCCTCTTGAGCTGGTTCGGGAGGGCAGTCAGGGGGGGGATGCTTTGATGAGAAACTGGTTCTGCAAAGTCAGGAGTTAATGGCAGATATCGATGGACATAACAAGACAAGGAGATCAACAGATGGCATATACTTGATATCTCGGAATCGCATCATGAAGGAAAAGCTGGGTAATGTAAATGCCAAGACCTGTGAATAGCTTCAAGAGTCGAGATCGGAGCTAGCTCGAAAGTGGGGTACATTCATTACGAACAGTAATCCCACTTGGGAGTGCACAATTACACATGTAAAAAATAATGTCACTACACCCATCAGAAAAGTCCTATAAGGCACCGTTCCTTCTCAAAATCACCTCCTATGCGAACACATATACTGAGAGGTTACCATAACCATGAAAAATTGTTCCCTTCCTGATCCGAATGAACTCATAACACAAGCCCCGTCTACCTATAACGCACCATCTCTGTCTAAGGCAAGTCCTTCAATATCATCGCTCTTCAAAATCATAGAATGCAACGCAGCGCACAATGGATACAGATATTACCGGCCTGCATCAGGCCTGGGCTCGGAAAATATCAACACAACGGACATGAAAAAAAAAAACAGTCCCAGCCCAGCCCGGCCAGCCACTGGTGACCAAACAACCCATCTAATCCCATACTGCTTTTCCCTCCCTTGGTTTTACTTTATTGTCCTTTTTGTTGGTTTTTTATACACCCCTTAATTCGTCTGACCATCGGGAATATGATCCTCAACCGTGCTCAACGCTCCAAGGTTGACCTCTCCCATGGACAGTGCGCCGCCAACACCACCAGCGCCAGCACCACCAACGCCAGCGAGAAGAGCCACGCACTCGATCACATCCTCAGGTTCCAGCAAATGCCACCTAGCCAGCGTAACCTTGGTGCTGGCGCCCACCGTGACAGTGAAGCAGTTCTCGGGCTTGATCTCGGCATCTTCGCCAGGACCAGACAGCACGTTCAGGCTGCGGAACATGTCCTCATCGGTAAAATCATCACCCATGCAGAGCACAAACTCGAGCTTCTCGGAAGCAACCTTGTCTGGCGACCCCGAAGACTTGGCAGCAAGAGCCTTGAGCTCGGCATTGTACTCCGTGACGAGGCGCTTCGCGATCTCGCCCTTATTGATGAACGTGGGACGCACCTCAAGGTTGGCCTTGCCCGCCATAACCTCGACGTCCCACTTGCGGCCGACGGTGGTCTCGAGCTCCTTTTGGCAGTCGCGAGCCATGTGGAGACCCTGCTCGGGATCGGCGAGGCGGTAGTGCCAGGTGAGAGCACAGCGCTTGCGTTCAATGAAGGAGCCTAGCAAATTCATGTTAGCCATTGTTTTAGTAAGCAAAGGAGAATCAAAGAACTGACCTGGAGTCTTGTCGGTGTACTTCTGGAAGACTTCCAGAACCTCGGCCTGCCAGCCCATATCAAACTTCTCGGCCAGGTTCTCCCACTCCGTCGAGCCCGGGTGCCGCATGAAACTACCATGCTCTGCGCTGAAGCCCAACTCGGTAATGTGGCCAAGGTGCTGCTGAAGGAACTCCTGGTCGCGGCCGGAAATGATCCAGACGGCGTTGCGGGGATCGGCCGCCAGAGCCTTGAGGCTGTTGATAACGCGCTCCGACGGGATGGCGGCACTAGGTTCCCTGACAATGGGTGTGAGAGTGCCGTCGTAGTCAAACATGAACAAACGCTTGTTGGCCGCCCGGTACTTGCGGAGCATGGTGGCGCGATCGAGCAGGGGAGTGGCGATGATGTCTTTTCTGTTGGCGAGGACACTAATCAGGCGACGTAGAAGACCGGTGATCCAGAACTGGACGTTCTTGTTGGTGACGTGCTCGAGCAAGCTCTTCTCGATACTCTGGCGGCGCTCTTGCGACATGGTGAGAGCATTGTTGATCTGCTTGGCGACATCGGTAAGATCCCAGGGGTTGATGTGGATGGCATCCTTCAGCGAGCCAGCGGTACCGCTGAACTCGGAGAGAATGAGCGGGCCAGCATTGTCACGCTGGCAGATAATGTACTCCATCGAGGTCGTGTTCATGCCGTCTCTGACCGAGGTGATGAGGCCAATGTCGGCAGCACGGAGCAGAGCAAAGTACTCATCTTGCGAAATGTACTGGGGGTAATGCTGCACAGGAGTGTCGCCAAGCGAGCCGTACATGCCATTGATCTTCATGACAAGCTCGTTGACACGGCTGGAGATCTTGTTCTCGGAATCCTCCTTTTCCTCCTCAATGTTAGTGGGCGAGGTAACCTGGATGAGAACGACCTTTTCCCTCCACTCGGGGTAGAGCTCGAGGAAGCGCTCAAAAGCCATGAGCTTCTGGGGAACGCCACGGACGCTGTCCAACTTATCGCGGCCGACAATGAGCTTCTTGCCAGCGTACATCTTCTTCAGCCCCTCGTACTTTGCAGTGGCGGACGGCTTCCACGCAGCGGCAGCGACCTTGATAGCGTCGATGCCAATGGGGAAGACGCCGACCTCAACACGTGTGCCGTAGGCCTCGACGCCGGTAGTATCGGAGGGGAAGCCAAGGACGCGGGTACAGCAGCTAGCAAAATGGCGCGAGTAGCTGTAGCTCTGGAAGCCAACCAGGTTGGAGCCCAAGACACCCTCCAGGACTTCCTTTCTCCTGGGGAGGCAGCGCAAGAACTCGGAACTGGGGAAGGGCGAATGCAGGAAAAAGGCAATGTACATGTGGGGAGCCCGCTGGCGCAACATGCTAGGCAGAAGCATCAGGTTGTAGTCATGCACAATGACAATGTCGCCGGGCTTGTAGTTTTCGAGAATCTTGTTGGCGAACTTTTGGTTCATGCGGTAGTAGTCAGCCCACTGGATTCTTTCGGCGCGGCCATCGGCGGGCTCGTTCTGCTTGTAGTGGAAAAGGGTGTAGAGGGAGTGCTCGGCGTAGCGTCTCCAGCGGGCCTGGTCCTTCAGCCTGATGCCATCGTCGTGGCCCTCGATGTCGTCGGCGAGCCAGACAGGGACGGTCTTGATCTTTCGGTTGTGCGACAGGTCGTGCTCCAGCAAGTGCATGTCTTCCTTGGGAATCCAGAGACCATCTGCCGTGGGATGGGCCGGAGGAGTGACGCTGCCATCGATGGGCACAGGGCGGGAAAGGGGGTTGAGCGAGGGTTGGCCGACCGTGGTAGCAGGCGCCTTGCCGGCGTGCTGGGCGGACTTGACCTCCTCAATCTCGCCAGTCCAGGCGACAACCGTGTGATTCCATGGGGCGTCATCAGACGAGAGGTACGAAAACGAATCGAAAAGCGCCGACTGTCCCCGGCGGGGTTTTAGATCCTGTTGGAGTTGCGCATCATGACATCAGCCCCACTGTTTTCCCACTGTTTTTCTCACTGTCTTGCCAAAGCTTGGATATGATCAGAAGGGAACTTACCCAGGAACCCGTGGTGCCCTTTTCGCCGCTGGCCTTGGTATACTTGAGCAGGTGGGGGATTGTAAAGGTGGCTGAGATGATGTTTCCGCTAAGCGACAGGTTGGGGAACCTGTGGCGGATGTCGGAGAGGGAGTCCTGGCTCCCAATGGCCGCCGCGCCGGAGTCCGTGACGGCCGTGCTCAGACGGCGCATAAAGTCCTTGCCGGCATCGGCACCCACCGCGAGCTGCCTGTCCACGCTTCCTGTCTCTTCCAGGCCGACGGTGCCTGGAGACCGGGCAATGTCGTGCTCGTCAATTCGCCTCTCAAAGTAGCCAGGACCCGTGGTGAGCTGTTCTTCGTAGGCCTCGCGGCTGATGCCCGGAGTGACGGGCACATTGATGACCGAGGGGCGCAGATGGCCCGGGAGCGAGGATTCGGTGCGCGAGGCTTCTGGTCTGGGTATCACGATCCGGTGCTGCTGCTGCTGCTGCTGCTGCTGTTGTCCTTGTGTCATCTTGGCGGTTGTGTGGTAGGTGAGGACGGACTGATGTGCCGTCGCTCTGTCTCGTGCGATAAGGGTGAGTGGGTGGGTATTATGTAGAGCGGGACGGATGTAAACAGATCGCAGACAGAATGAAGACTGAAGCAGGTCTAGTCTACCGTACTAAGGGGAGAAAGGGGAGAAGGAGACGAGGCGACCTGTGGTTGTGTATCTTGAGTAAGGAAGGAAAGAGGGAAGAATGGAGGGGAAGTTGAGAGGAGGAGAAAAAGGAGGAGGAGGAGGAGGAGGATGAGGAAGAGGAAGAGGAAGAAGGAAGAAGGGGGATTGGGAGCCTGAAAGAGAAGTTGGGCAAGGAAGGTAGTAGGTCGGTAGGTAGTGGTGGTAGTCAATGGAAGGAAGGAAGAAAGGAAGGAGCCTTGGAGTTGGAGTCGCAGTCGCAGTACTAGGTAGGTTGGGCGGGCGGGCGGTGACTGGTGTGTGGCTGTCAACGACTGGAATGGACCTGTCAATGCGTCACCCAGCGAGACACTTCAGTTCTCTTCAGTTCCTGCTTTCACTCCGTCCTTCCAGTCTCGCTGGCCTTCAAATGGATCCGATGTCGATGCACGCCGTCGTCGACCAGCAGGGATCCTGTCGGCTGGGAGCAAGGGGTGCGACAAGGAAGCTGGTACCGGTGGTGGAGTGGACAGGAACAGCGGGTAGCCAGGGGAAGAGCCCACTGCAGTTCAGTTTAAACCAAGTGGTCTGTGCTTCCACTTTTTCTTTCTTTCTCCTTCGTTCCTCTCATGCAGTGCGAGGCAACAACTTGGGAGGATGCAGCCTGGACGGCAACAAGCAGAGAGTGACAGCAGCAGACAGGAAGCAGGAGGGATTAGTGCTTTGAACTGGATGAATGCAGTGAGCCAAGTTGACAACAGAGACCTGACTGAGGGACAGGAATGTAACTGAACTGAATGCTTCAGTTTTCTTTGATCGAGTCGAAGCTTCTGTTGGTGGGGCACCAATCTGAAATGTCCCGCTCTCTGTCTTTATTGTATAGGTACCTATGGTAGTACACAGATGAGGCTCGAAGCAATCAGATATGCAGCATGAGCATGGAACAAGAAAGATGCCCAACCAACACTTTCCCTACTGCCCATGCCACCCATCAACTTGAATCTGATATTGGTCTCTTTCCAGAAATGCCCCTCATTCACCCTCCTTTTCAAACTTTCAGTCGGACCTTTCAGCTAGACGCCGTTCTGGACCCAAGCTTGGGTTGTATGTAGTCGGGCATGTCATGCTGTCACGGTGCCCTCTCCTCGGTGCGACTGCGAGTCTGTAGTACTGTATTGTAGGTACGTAGTCTGTGACTGTGACTGTCAGCTCTACAAACAAAGGAGGCCCCATTCTCGGTGTCACGGTGCGGCAGAGGGCACCATCAAATGTTGTCATTGTCGCCAGGTGTGGACAGAATATTTCTTCTAGGAGACTGTCCTAAGAAAGATTACATTGCTATAGGCTTCCGCATATGGGCCCGAAGATCCGCATCCAGGCATGTCCATTGGATGAACGGCCAAATGACCGGCCATGGGGGAAAAGAGACTGGGGGAAGCACCTCCAATAATGCCCGTGGTGGAGGGGATGGCGGGGTAGGTACACTCCAGCCCGCTCCCCAGTCGCCATCAAACTACCTAATGATCCAAACTGGGAAATGAAAGCCCTCGCTTGCTTGAGGATCATGTGCCCAGAATAGCAGTTCGAGGGATTGAATTTTATCTCAGTTCAATCGCTCTACTCTGATTGATCTGATACCCAAACACCAAACTCTTGAGGAACTAAACAATCGACGATGCAGACGGAGGCAGGCAGGCAGGCAGGCAGCAAGGTAGGTGCACTACATGGCACTACAGTATGTACCTACATACCCTAGCAAATGTACCTTTTGGGGTTCCAGTGCAGACAAAACCAGACCAGACCTAAGCATGGGCCAAGTGACCTGACGTAATTGAGCCAAGTAAGCTCAGCGCTAGCAAAGTCCAGAGTGCGACAAACCAAGGAAGCTTCTTTTTCCATTTCAATTGCGCCAGCTGTACACGTGTGGATGATGCCTCCTGGATGCTCGTTTGTGTAACGCTGGTCAGGGGGGGTCTAGGTGACGGGGGATACCGATTATCAGCTCGTAACGTGAGAACTACTAGTGTAGCTGGTGGGGATTAAGTGCCTTCTGGGAATAGAATCAGAAAGAAAGTTATCAGGTGTCAAAAGAGAAGACAAAAGACACCGAAGATGGACCGATGACAAAAGCGATCGATCCCCTTTTCCACGCAGACTAGGTATTCGCTTTTGGTGGCGGTGATGGAAACTGGCAACTCAGCTACCTGAGACCTAGTCAAAACCCCCAAAACTGAGTGTTGACAGCGTACAGATTTTGGTGAAAAGGTATCGCAAAGATCACATGTAGTGTAGAGCTGGAACACTCGTGTCTCTGGTACATGTTGCATATCAAGCATGTCAAAGTGCACATACATACACTCACCGCCACCCCCGGGCAAGGCCGGCAAGCAGAACATCAAAACATCAGACCAAAAGAATTGAGCCTCCAATTGCCCTCCCCATCCCTCCATGTGCCCCCGGATCTCGCGAATCGAGCATCGTGATCGAACAACTGAATCTAGCGACTCAGTCGGGGGGTCACCGCCCAAGTCACCGCCTTCAACGCCCAGACATCAATTCTATTGTACAGTATCCCCAATCCCTTTGACTCTCTCGGAGAATTCCGACCCGGTCGCCGCGTCCGAGAGTCACTCACGTTTCAGAACTCTTCTTCACCGACCTTGACGCCGTCCGTTTCCAATGATCTTCAATCTTTTCTAGAAAAAAAAAACACACAGACACACAGACACACACTCTAAAACCCCGCCAAAACCCAAATCGCACGTGCAACCCCGGGTTACAATACGATAACCATCCCCGAGATCTCCAGACTTTCTCCGCGAATATCATTCCATGTCCGGGGCCGCGACCGGACCACGGGCCTGTGTGCTCATGGCGCAATCATGTACGGGTTAGGGTTGTCATCCCCCAGTCAAGATGATTGCCGCGCTTATCACCGAGTTGCCGCAAAATGCCTGCCGTCAATCTTCAATCCAATCTCCAAACGAGAATACGGCAGGTAACCAACATTGACGACGCGATACAAGCGGCCCGACATGCGTGAGAAACAACATGAATATCAGGCTGAAGTATCTCAATCGTACACAGCGCTGAAGCGGAATCGTGTACAAGTGAGTACTGGACTGAATAACGCCGACCAATGAAGAGCCCATTGCTCCCAGAATGGATGAGCGGTTGGTTCTCGCTTCTTCCCGTCGTCTGGTGTTATTGATGTCGTTATCTTGAGTTATCGATGGAGATAGCCGATCGTGTCGTTGTCCGCCATTACTGTATTGGCCTGGTCCGGCATCCAGCTCACTGGGCTGGTATGATACAGCACTAACATGATCACGTAGTAATTCCGTGCTAATACGTTATGATCGCAACACCAAACCATCAAGGTCCCCTTTCTCTCCGGGAGCTGGAGTATGAACCTCGACAGTCGAGACCTTTCTCATCCATCATCACCCCCCACGGTCACATCCTTTGCGATGCAGTCAAGCGCGCGCCCAGTTGAACTAACAAAAAGAGGGCGATTGCATCCGATTTTTTAGTTCTCTACAAACTCAGCGATTGCCTCGAACAACATTCTATACAGCGACTGGAGATACGAAGGAAAGTCGTGCTTCCATTCCCATAGATTTACATCTACATCTAGATGAACGCTGAACTCGCATCGTTTGATGGTTTGATGTAGTGCAGTCTGTTTTGTTTGTGTTTGTGGTGTGCCGATTTCGCACACGATGCCGTTGATTGCTGTCGATGTCGATGGTCTTTTGGCTGACTGCCTGTTCACTGTCCACTCACTGTTCTGCAACACCATCGTGAAAAAAAAATTACCAAAAAGCGGAAAAAAGTGTGTGGTAAACTCATTGTTTATGCTTATGCTTTCATGCCTCAACCACAACTTCCTTCCACAACCCCCACTCACTCATCCTTCTTCTTCTCCCTTTTTTCTCCTTTCTCCCCATCCCCCTCCCCATCCTTCCCCTCCTCCTCCTCCCTCTTTCTCTTCTCCTTCTCCTTGGGATTACTCCCCACCACCTCCTCCCCCGTCTCTTCATCCACCAAATTAGTTTCATCCGCCAGTCCCTTGAATTTAGGTTTTCCATCCTTGATATCCACCACCCTCTGCGGGTAAAACATGTGACTCTGCACTTCAAACGCTTTTTTCCCCTCTGGGGAATTAATCCCTTCAATCAGGGTAGGGAACAACAAAATCATGTTGCGCCCTTCGTCCATGATGGGCGTGCGGCAGTAGGCGCATTGCACCTTGCATGGCAGGTGGTGTGTTGTCGACTTGGCGGTTGGGTCGTACCATCCGAGATCGTGGTGGCCGTTGGTGAAGTTGATGTCGGACTTGTGGAAGATGGCTGCCCATTGGAAGGGGGCCTGGATACTTTCTGTTAGCAATTTGTTCCTCCCTACGCTCGAATTCGCTCTTTTTTTTTTTTTTTTCTTTTTTTTTTTTTTTTTTTTTTTTTTTTTTTTTTTTTTTTTTTTTCTCCTCGCTACGCTCGATTTTTTTTGTCCTTCTTCCTTTTTCTTCCTCTCTTCTTCTTCTTCTTCTTCTTTCTTTCTTCCTTTCCTTCTTTCTCTTTTTTTCGTTTTATTCCCTCCCTCCACTCAAAAGAAAAACAAAAAAAGAAAAAAAAAAAAAAAAAACTCACCCCATGCATCCGCTGACAAGTCGTACAATGACAATACTTGCTCGCCAACGGCTTCTCCCTACTCAACTCATACTGCACCGCCCCGCAATGGCACTTCCCCCGCCACTTGACCTGAAAGTCTTCGCCCTTGTCGTGGATCTTGTACGGCGCGCGGAACTTCCATTCGTCTTCGGGGCGATCGGTGCGGTTGCCGGATTGGTATTGGTGAGGTTCCTCCCCTCCTCCTCCCTCTTGTTTGGTGTCTTTGTTGTTATTGTTGTTGGGGGACATTTTGAGGTTGGTGGGAGTCGTTGTTGTTGTTGAGATGAAGCGGGTGGTAATGGGAAGGGTGATGATGATTTTGGAAAGTGGAAAACTGGTAGATGAGGGGCGTAACGCGCGGCGGGCGAGGAGCATAAGCTGTGCTGCGGTTCGAGCTGTGTATCAAGCTGCGGGTTGTTTGTTTACGTCAGTTGTTGCTGGTGTTTGCTTTTCCCTTGAAGCGGCTTCAAGATTCGGGGTTCTTCAATGTGAATTGGTAATAATGTAAACTGGTCGTCGATGAGAGGTATCACAAACTGATTCAATGTTTGTTTCTTTCGTTCCAGGTCTACATAAGAGTTCCTTCCTTCATATAATATTCCACCTTCATCATGTCCATCTCTCGCCTTCTGTCTCTCACCTCCGCCTCTGTCCTTCCCTTCCCAACTCACCGTAGCAAATGCTCCGGTCCAGCCTAGGTACTGCGTAAATCAATGATGCCAAATGATGCTGTTTACGTGCTCCAATCCTGAGGTTGTCGTCACCGATCAACGGGTTGTTGCATTCGCAATCGGCACTCAAATCTCAGGAACGGCCAACGGGCGGTTCATCGCCGATGGATGTGGGGTAGCAGTGACGTCACTATCGATAGTCTGCTGGCAAAAAGGAACGACCTTGCACAAAGGGGAAATATGAAACTGTTGCGACGGCAAAAGTTGATTGAAGTGGTCAATTGATTTGCTTATTTACAGCTATGGAAGGGTGGTGTAAAGTCATCACCAGTTTGCCCGCTTGCGTGGGGCTCCAGATGTGGAAAATGTACATACGTAACCCTGGGATATGTGCACCTTGAACCCTGGCATTGACACTCCGGCCAGCGGCTCTACTTCCCATCTCTTTCTTCCAAGCCTTGCCTTTCCTTTCCTCTTCCTGGGCTTCTTTCAGCTCCCATGACTGGTGTCCTCAGCTTCACTGAACCCAGTCAGCAGTAGATGCAGAGAGACTATCATCACTCCTCAGAGCCATCAGTTCCATCCTCCTTGACACACTCAACAACGCAACTCGCGCCCTCCACATCCACCCAGTATCCCGTAACCTTCAGGCCAGCCTCCTTACAAAGCTTCCTGTAACCCTCTGCGTTCCTCAACTTGCCTCCCAGGTTCATCATCACCATGTCCACCAGTCTGTTCTCCGGCGTCGGCTTGTCCAACAGGACTCCCTCCATGATGACGATTCTTCCCTCGCTGCCGCTGAGCGCACACCTCAAGTGCTTCAGAATCCACACGGCCTGCTCATCGCAATAGTCCAGTAGCACACGACGGACGACGTAGACCGTTGCTCCCTTGGCTTCCTCAGGTTGGGGCTGGAAGAAATCATGTGCCATGGTCATGACACCCTTCAACCTCTCATCACCACCCTCCATGTTCTTTGCGACCTGGGCAATAACCTCGGGCCTGTCCAGCAAGATGCACTGCTCCGGCTTAACCTCCGGAATGTTAGCCAGGAGGTTGGCTAGGAAGTGGCCCAGTCCGCCGCCGACATCGACTACCAAGGGCTTCAAACTGGTGTTGACGTCTCCGAGCATGTGCAGCTGTTGTTGCAGCTGCCGTTGCAGCTGGGCAACTTCGGCAAGCCAAGTAAGCGAGAACTTGTTGGCCGGATACTCAGAGTTGATACCGCGATATCCGCCAACGCCCAAATCGCCGCCCAAAGCGCCCTGCGCACCCTTGTCCTTGGCTGCCATGGCCATCTCAAAGTGGCGCGCATACTCCGGGTAGCGGGCTTTGACTTCCCACGGCGCCAGGGCCGGGTGGCCCCAGCCAAGAGAAAAGGGTGTCGGGATGTAGCTTTTGCTAGTACCGTCTTGTGCGCCGCGTCTCTTGGTCGTCACGACAATGCCATTACTATCATGGACCAAGATCTCATTATCCGATGGGTGGGGTTCCTGTCTGTCGTAGGTGGAAAAGTACTCGGGCCACTTTGCGAAGCCCTTCATGCCGTTGCCGAAACTAACGATGGCGAGGGCAGCGGTGGCCGGCGAAGTGTTGGTACGAAGAAGGCGGGAGATGCGGCTGTGGGAGACGTGGGTGGGCGGTCCTTTCTCTGCTTCACCGCCGAGGCGGGAGCCGATGAGTTTGCCGGTAGAGATTAGCATGCAGGCGATGCGGGAGACGAGAGACTCGTCGGCATTGATAGCACGGGCGAGGTCGGCGATGGAGATGGAGCCCGTGAGAGGGATGTGGTCAAAGGCGCGCCAGTGGAGGAAGATGTTCCAGGCTGCGACGTCGGCGATCTGTTACACGGGTCTGTCAGTCAGGCTGCAACAGTTGCGAGTTGGAATGGGGGAACGGGGCGAGCTTACAGTGACCCAATCCGACTTGAGCGAGTCCATAGGTGGTGCGGTCTCAAAGGCAATCTTCTTGCCTAGCTTCGCAACGCGCTGGCGGAGCTCAATCTCCTCAGGCGACGGAGGAGAGGGCGCATGGTTTGCCGACTCGGGGGAGCCGAAGGGAGGGGTAGGCTTGCTGTCGATAATCGCTTTGAGCTTCTTGGCGTGGGCGAGGAGGGCTTCAGCGGCCTCGACGAGGTCGAAAGCCGGGGCGCTTGGGGTCGGGGTAGCGGCCGAGGCGGCTGTCTTGTCAGTCTCCAGCTCGCCGTCGTCGTTTCTCATGTTGTTAGCATGGCCGCTCTCGTGCTGGCTTTCGCTGCTGCTTTCATTCTCGCTCTCAGTTGCGGGAGTCGGCACGAACAAACTCGGCAACTCCATGTCCTCGCTGTTGTTGTTGTTGTGGTCGATCTCAAGGGTCGACACGGACACGTTGAATTTCGGGTCCGTCATGTTGGGCTATTTCAGTTTGCGATGGATCCGCGCAGTTTCGAAATATTTGTTGTGGGCGCAAGAATTGGAAGAGTCGAAGGCTGCTGGATCCTAACGGAGATGGTTTTGTACCTTTGGCCTGCAATTGTCATGTCATGTTGAACCCAGGTGAATGCCCTCGCGCCCTTCACTGCCCGGTAATTTATTCGGACATCAGGACATATAGGCTGCGCCACAGCCACACAAAGTTCAGCTCGGCCTTTTCGGCTGACGGGACTCGGAAGTAGAAGACGCCGCATCACTCACGGTGAATGGTTGGGGAAGGGCGGGCGATTTCTTCAATCTCAGCGTCGGGTGTTTGGATGTTGAGGAGCTCGGAGGGGATCAAGTGGAACTGGAACAACGACCATGAGTGGGCAACCAAGACCTTGTTTGTTTGTTCGGTCGCGAACACTGCCTTCAAATATCCGAGTTGACCGAGCCACCGGTGGTCGGCACTTTTATCATCCGGAGTATCACAGCATCAGTCGCTCCTTCCACATGACTTGGGCAGCGAATCAGCCAGGCAACCGATGCCGACGGAAGAAATGAACTTGGGAATGCAGGCAGGCACAAGGCAGGGTTAAAGGTGTAAAAACCCAACGCATCATGTAAGTGGTTGAAAGTGGTGGGCAGACACCTTTAACCCTTGGTTACCTCTAGGTAACTAACTCCCATCCCCCTTAACATCATGCATCATCCTGACCCTTCTCTGCGTCCACTCCCAACAGCTAACAGCCTCGTACTTTGGCTCCTCCCCTTCCTCGACACAGCTCTCCAACACCTCACAAGTCTCATTCAAATTAAACCCAAAAAAGAAAGCCATGCTCAACCTCTCTTTCCCGCTATAATTCTGCACCCGATGCACCGTACTCACATACTTGTCGTTGGTAATACGCTGCATGTAATCCCCAAAGTTGACCACAAACGTGCCCGGGATAGGCTTCGCATTGAACCACTGTCCCGACCTCGACAAGACCTGCAACCCGCCCACCTCATCCTGTCCCAAAATGGTAAACAACTGAAAATCCGTATGCGACCCAATCGACACCTTGGTCTCGTCTCCCTTTTCCTCTTCTTTTTCAGAGGCAGACAACGGCGGATAATAATTAACAGCCATGCCCAAATCCGGCCACCGACTCTTCTCATCAAACGCCGTCTCCTCCAGCCCCAAACTCAACGCAAACGCCCGCTGCAGTACCCTCCCCAGCTGCAAGACCGCCTGGAAATACTGAATGACTGCGGCCTTGAACTGCGGAGGGACGGCACTCCACGGGTAATCGTCTGCGTCATGCTTGATCATGGCCTTTACCTCGTCGGGTATTTCCTCCTCTATGTTCTTGACACTCGGATCATACCGGGGATCATACCTCCACGAAAAAGACTCGCGATGGTCGACGCTCTCAAATGGGTTGAGGCGCTGCGTGCGAGGTGGTTTCCAGCCGTATTTGTAGAGGGAGTTGTGCATGCTGGCTTTTTCTTTTTCCGAGACGGGGGAGCGGAAGAATCGAAAAGCGGATTCTTGGGCTTCTTGGATTACGGAGGAGGAGATGCCGTGGGAGGTGATGTAGAAGAAACCGTTGGTCGTGGCGGCTTGGTGGATTTGCTTTGCGACCTCTAGGCGGGAGGCAAGGGAGGAGGAAGGGGAGAAGAGAGGGGCGAGGGAGATGATGGGGAGTTCGGAGGGGAGGGCGTCGCGGGGCGGATGGGGGAGGATGGAGCGGGTGATGGGGCCGTTGCCTGAGGCTAGGCGGAGGGTTGTTGTTGTTGTTGGGGTGGACATTGTGGAGGTATTGTGGGTAGTGGTTGCCGGGTTGAACTGGAGCGCGTTTGTCGAAAAGGAATTGGATCTTAAGTAGCTGTGCTATAGGACCGTGTTCTGCGCTCTTTGTGGCCTATTGAGTCACCGTGACCTTTTAGTTCGTTAATGAAGGTGACGGTCGTCTAGTTGCGTTGGCTCCAGGGTCGTGACGGACACTCAACGTTTGTCGGCTGGTGATACTCGATGGTGAATGGACGACTGGCGGCGTTTGACTGAAAATAGCAGATGTTGGTGAAACTGCAGTCTTTCTTTTCACAAGGTGGTGAGTTTGTCTTGATATTCCCTCCCAGGAAGTTGTTAGGGAGGAGAAGTCGAGACTCGAGATCCAGATCACATACCCCAGATGGACACGGATGGTTATCAATCCAAAAACAAACTAGGCCTGTTCCGGATCTCGGTTATCTAGCTGATGGCGCCGTATCGACATGGAGGAGGGGGGTTTGTTTGTCTCTTTGACGGAGTTAAGCCTCATGACCCCGGGTCTTCGGGCATCTCCGATGGATCTTTTCGGCAGCTTCCACATCTTGACATATCGGATAGAGGAGAGGCACTCTTGTTTTTGGACACCGAACCATAACAAAGATACGAGAAGAGTCGGGATTAAAGATTACCTAGATACCGCCGAACAAATACTGGGAATGTCGAATTACGAGGATAATAGCTGTCACGGTCGTCATAACTGCGAGTCCTTCCAGAGAGGAAGAAAAAAAGCACTAGCTGACAGTGGGTTAGGGTTATTAGAGCATGAGATGGGCTTGCGGCTAGGCATCACGCTGTACCATTCCAATGGGACATTAGATCCCTTCTATTCTATTGCTGATGACACTACCATATCGTACTGGAAAAGCAGTAACTAATCCATTAAACAGCTCGAATCCTGCACTTTATATTACATGAGGTCGGCAGCCTGTATTTTACGGTAGGTATTTTGTAATCTTCCTCCACTTTCGACAACCCCTTACGCCAAGTGGGGCTCAGATGCCTGCCGGCCGGCCGGTTGTACCTAACGACGTCTCGGTGCAGTTCACAGCGAGTTACATCCCACCAACACTGACTAACAAGCATCGCTCGGTGATACGACTGCCGAAGCCAAGCACCCCGCGACCAGTTGGTACGACTTTGGAAACCGGTTACCTTTGTCTTCCTGTTTCTCTTCTTTCCTGTTCCTGCTCGCTGCTGCTGCTGCTGCTGCATCTCCCTCTTACAACAAACATCTCCTCACGTCTCTTCTACTTCAGTCCAACTCCCCTTGATTAAATCGAATTCCCATCGCATCAAAATCCCCCAACTTTCAACATCCACCTCCAGTCTCGCATCATCAACCAGTGACCACCACCAACCACAATGACTGCCTCCTCCTCAATCCCCATCCCCCCCAAAGGCGTCTGGGTCCCCTCCCCCACCTTCTTCACCACGTCCTCCCCCTCCCCTTTCTCCGCTACCCAACCCGCCGTCGACTACGCCTCCCAAACAGCGCACACCCTCTTCCTCGCCCGCTCCGGCATCACCGGCGTCGTCCTCCTAGGTTCCACAGGCGAAGCCATGCACCTTTCCCGGTCTGAACGGTCCCACCTCATCAAGTCCGTCCGGAAAGGGCTCGACGAGGCCGGCTTCCAGAAATTTCCCATCATGGCGGGTGTCTTGACCAACGGAGGCGTGGAGGAGACGGTGCAGTGGTTGGATGATTACACAGAGGCCGGGGCGGAGTTTGGGTTGGTGTTGGTGCCGGGGTATTTTGGAGCTGGACAGGGGGTGTGGGGAGAGGGACAGGAGGGGGTGGTGAACTGGTTTAAGGAGGTTCTCTGGGGGATGAAGAATAAGGAGATGGGGATCGTGGTGTATAATTACCCCGGGGTGAGTAATGGGGTGGTGCTGGAGCCGGAGGGTTATAGAGCTCTGGCCGAGGATTCGAGGGTGGTTGGGTGTAAGATGTGAGTTCCACCCTTGTCTTTCATTGCCCTTTGGTGGACGTCTGGATTGTCAAGATAAGGCGGTGCTGATGGAAATATAAATGTGCAGGTCCCATGGAAACATCTCGCACCACCTCCAAGTCTCTCTCGATCCCGAAATCAACCACGAACGATTCCGTGTCTTTTCCGGCTTCGGCCAACAACTCGGTCCCATTGTTCGGTTTGGCGCAGCTGGCGTTATTGACGGCATGTCGGCTTACTACCCTAAAACGGTGGTCAGATTATTCGAGCTAGCGCAGAAGGACGATCTCAGGCCGTCGGAGAGGGCAGAGCTGAACAAGTTGCAATACGTGGTGAGCAAGGCCGAGGAGTTTGTCGTCAAGTATGGCTTGAGGGGTATCAAGGAGGCGACGTACAGGGTTGCGGGCTTTGGAGATTTGGAGGCGGCGAGAGTGCCGGTTGTCGCGAGGATGGGGGAGAAGGAGTGGGAGGCGGGGAGGAAAAAGTATTTGATGGAGATTGAGGAGATTGAAAAGACACTCTAGTCTACAAACAGGAAGGAAGCTGGCATCTAGGGGGAATGGTCAATGACTACCCATAGGTAATAATACCTCTATGTATGGGTTTCGTCACGACAGCAAAGCGAAAAGGAAAACAAAAAATATGTAGCCCGTACCGGGTTCGAACCGGTATCTTCCGCTCTACCATAATACCGCGTCCAGCACGGCTATACGCCAGGATAGGTAGGTAGTGTTACCATTACACCAACGGACCATGGAAAGGTGCTCGGGAAAGGTGACTTATAGAGGTACCTTCACCCTAGACCGGCGGGAGAGAGTTGGGACGAGGATCGGCCAAGGTTGCAGCGGCCGGCAGGACAACGGGTCTGGAAGGGCGGCACCATCGAAACTATCTTCTCTATATACCTACACGAGCTGGGACGCTAAAAAGTGCGGTTAGTGTGTTAAGGATTTTTGCGGGCGGTTCCCACGTAAACTCCGTACGTACTAGCTAAACGTTATCGTACGGACTTTTCTATTGAGCTTAACTTGCCGCACCGTCCCCAATGTCCTCGCGCACCCTATTTTGACTTCCCGCACCCCTTTTTCCCCACATGCCAACCGATGATAGCTGATATGTAAAGTCCCGCGTTTTGTATGGTAAAACCTACTTTTGAAATGTTATATAACATCCAACGAAATATTAATAAAATTCAACGATTTTAATATACGATATTTTCCTGCACAGTCAAGGCCATATTTTATCGCTGTACAACCACATACCCCCAACCCAACTACCGCTATACCCGCCAAACCAACTACACTTAATTGAATAACTAATAATAAAGCACTCGTACTACAATTAATATCAATTATTAACCGCTTTACAATATTATAATTATTTCAATCCTTATTTACAGCCAACTTCCACACCGCTACGGGCAACGATGAAAGCGCTAACTAGCTAGAGCCTCCCCGAACCGACGAGCCAATATAGTTAATTAATGAAAATAATAAACTCTTTCGTATTAGTCCTATAGAGGAATAAGCACTCGTCAAAACAATCTACAACTTCTATTACCGCCATTGTATAAGGTTAACGAAGCAATAATTTCGTACTTATAATAGTAAGTTTATCTCTAGCCAACTACAATACGAATACGCTAAATACCGCAACTACCCCATCCCTAAAGAAATTACCCGCCTTTATTGTAGCTTTAAGAAGATTGTGCGCGACTACCTATTTAGATTTAAGTTCAAACGCGTATCTAGCGACGAAAATCTCTATATTATTACACCTATAAATCTCGAGCACTGCGGTCATCCTCTAACTACCTCTATAACCGCCTTTGTTAAAGTTCGTTTTATTATTACGAATAACTAAATAGAATATATTTATAATTTCCTTACCCAACGAGAACTCTCGATCTATACCGTTAAACAGCTCGCTGAATATAAATATCTAAAGTTTCTATTTATTACTAAAGACTACTCCAATATACGCTTCCGTACCTATAAAGAATAGTAAACTAGCTATACCGATATCCAAAATTTCGTATAATTACTAAAGAAGGAGGTAGAACTTAGCGATAGTAACTGGTCGGTTATCTACGCTAATACCGACTTTAATAATAACGATAGTACTATATTTTACTTAATATTTTAGATATTTAAGGAGTAAGAATCTTTATAATAGCGGTATCCCTATGTATTAATAATCGACGCTACTTACAAGACTAATAAATTCTATAAGCCGCTGGTTATAGGCGTTATTATTATGTTTATATATACTACCGCTCCTATCTTTCAATATTTTATTAATAATAAGAAGGAGGAGGAGGAATTTAAATAGTACTTTAAATAATTATAGGGGGCGATAGAGGAATTAAAGATCCTATTGCCTAAAATCTTTATTATAAATAGAGATATATAATTTATTACTATTCTATAATCTACATTCCCTAATCGATAGCGGTAGCGTTATATATAGTATCTTAATAATAATATTATTACTACTATTAAAAAATATTAGTAGAGGGATAAGGTAAAAGAGGATAGTCATTAAGGGCGTAATTCCTAATGCGGTAAAGGTAGAGGGAGAAGTAGAGGGAGGGGTGCCTGCTAAAATGGATATAACTTATAATCTCCCCCCTAATTAACCCCCCAATCTCCCTTACAATCTCCCTCCCCCCAACCCCCCCAATCTGCCCAGCCTAGGCAAAGCAACGACTCTAACAATAATTATAACGATTCTAATTTCGAAAAGCTTTAATAAAAATACTAGAAGGTACGCACCACCGCTAGAACCAAAGTTCAAATAAATTCCTTACTTACTTAAATAGTATAAACAAAGACTGCCTTCTTTACTTACTAACAACACATAATATTTAGCAGTAATTCGACGGTCTTTATTAATATTAAGCGGCTTATAAATAATAGTTTTAGAAAAACCTAGCCAAAATTATTAAAATATATCGACAACGAGCTTATACCCAGCAAATTAGAGTAAGCGGGCTACTATACTAAAATTAACCTCAATTTCAGTAGCAGAATTACCTCCCCCAACGAATCTACTAATATTAGTATCAAAGCAAAAGGATTATCAACCCGCGCGGGTCTCAATAAAATATTCTATACTACCAAAATTATTACCTAAAAGCACTACAATTTATATAAGAAGGGTATCGCCTCGTCTAATACCCGGGTACGTTGCGAATATTTACGCAAAGGTTAATTAAGCGACTACAAACTTTAAATATCTAATTAGAGTCTAAATATATTAATAGAATAGTATATAAAAGCGTTTAATATAATATAGTCAAATTGTAACCCCCACCCTTAAGAGCTCCCCTCCTACTACAATAACTTTAAAGACTAATATAATTTATTATATACTTACGAATTATTAAAGCGGTATAATTACAATAATCTCCAAAAAACACTAATTAATAAGATCGACTACTACCCCTTCTAGTATTTCGAGGAGGTACTAAATATACAAGACTAGTATCTCCGTATCGTCTCAATAACCAAAGTAGCTCCTAAGGGAAGGCTAAAGAATTAATATAGTCCCTTTAATAATAAAGCCATCGTCCCTACCCCTATCGCTAATAATAATAATACCAATAAGGGAGCCCGAGGTCCCTACGGGGCAGTTCGAATCGGAAAAGGTAGCTATATCCCCCGCAATACGAGATGTAACTACTCTTAAATTAAAATTTCTAATCCTAGCTTAAAGGCTCTCAATACTGCTAATACCGCTAATAATAAATAAGAATATATTATTATTAGTAATAATAACCAACCGCTAGAGCAACCGCCAAAACGTAAAAGGGGTAGACTAAAGGGATTAAGTAAAAGTAAAGCGAAAGTTCCAATTCCAACCTCCTCCTCCTCCAACCGCCCGGCACATACCTCCCGCAAACGCCCTACTCCAATAGAACCGGGCTCTCTACCAAACTCTCTATTGAATACTACTAATAATAATAATATTAAAAAGAAGTACCTTACTAATCTAAATTACGCTATAACAAACTAAAGGAAGCGGGCAGCAATCAAAAAGAGGGAGAAGGAAGCAGCAGACGAAGAGGTTAAATAAATTTACCTATTAAAAGACTACCCAAAAAACCCAAACCCACATAGAGTATAGCCGGGTAATAATTTGAATAATCCACTAGTTGTAAACGATTAAAAGCTTTATAGAGCCTCAATATTACTATAGAAATTAAGGGATTATTACTCGTTCAATACTATAAAATATCGCTAGATAACTTGGCGCACCCTTATAACTTAGCGCACCCTCACGACTTACCGCACCCTTCTTTAACTTAGTGCACCATAATACTCAGAAACATTAAAAATACGGACATTTCTATGGGAAAACGGCTTGTAATTATGACAGCTGACATGTGGTACGTAAAGTCAAAAAAGGTGCGCGAGGACATTGGGGACGGTGCGGCAAGTCAAGCTCTTTCTATTACATTTTCTCATCTAGAAAATTGTTAGCACTAACCTCTTAACTTTCAATCTATTAACGGGGGCTTCCTACAAACTGTCTACAGTTGATTCTCAAACCTCATGCTATAAACTTCGAACGTCGTAGGTAAAGGGGGGTGCCGGGGGGCGCAGCCCCCTGGTAAAAAAAAAGAAAAGCTTTACTAAAATTCTAAAGTAATACATATTTCTGAGAAGTAACCGGCTTAGCCTTTTATTACCAAACGAATAGTTACTTCAAAGCTAGCTTAGAATCCAGCTCTGCACGGGCTCCAACCCAGAATCCAGCCTTACACCCACTGAGAAGGGCCGCGGCTTGCCGCCCCGAACACTAGTCAATTAAGTCCGAATCACACATCAATGCCCGTTCTCAACCATGACGACGACCGTCTAGCGAGACTTAACAATCCGCTTACAATTTGCACTGCTCATCTACCACTTCTATCCACATCATTCAGCACCAAATAACATCAACCCATCACTTCCTGACCTCCTCATCCCCACTTCCCAGTCCACACTCCAGATTACGTCGCCATCGCCATACGCAACATCCTATTCAACCACCCCTTGTGCTCCTACTCCTCCCTCACCTTCCTTAACACGTTATACGCTACAAACATTCGTCTTCCCAGTATCCGAGTCCTGCGCCTTCAATCCACCACACGCACTCCCCATACATTTCTTATTGGGTAGGTATTGTCACCCATCACCTCTGCAGACCATCGCCCTTCCATACCTATCTACAAAGACATAATCGCCATGCTGTTTACACCCCGTGGTATCGCCCGTGCTCAAAACAAACAGCTGCAATCCATCGGCAGTCAGTCCGCCTTGTCGTTGAGCTGCGTGGTGCTCCATACGATTTCGGGCATGGTTTGTGGGATCTTGACGGGGTGCGTCGAGGGGCAGCCGGGCAGGTAGAGTCGGCCGAGGGGCCGGTGAATGAGACCGGGTAGGAGGTAGGGTAGACTGCGTGCGACTTGTGGTTGGGGGGGAATTACCCTACGTTAGGTTGCAAGACGACCACTTGGCGTGGAGAAATGGGTGATGAAGGTTCCGAATAGTCAGACTGGACTGGATATATCCAGTATTGGCAGCAGCCACAAGGTACCTACCTACATAGGTTACCGATGATATAGCGACTGAAATCTCCAGGCCTTTTGTCTGTCACAAGTGCTGTTGATAGTACATATACGATGGGAATGAGTACCTAGGAGCGAAGGGTTGGGTGTTATGCGTCCATCACTCGAAGGTGACATAAAGGAGTCAACTTAAATCGTGCCTGGACTCGGAGCTTCTTGTCATCCCGGTTACTAGAATATTTTACACCTGCCCCTCGTCATCCCAACTGCCACTGGTCTAGGCTGGGGTATATAACTCCCCTTTCCCGCGCACCCTTCCGTGGCCCGTTGGTGTAATGGTCAACACTACCTACCTAATCTGGCGTATTGTCGTGGTGTCCGCGGCTCTACGGCAGCGTGGAAGTTACCGGTTCGAATCCGGTACGGGCTACATTCTTTTTTCTCTCTCTCTCCCTTTTCTCTCCTCTTTTTCTTTCTGTTCCTTCCTTTTTTTTTTTTTTTTTTTTTTTTTTTTTTTTTTTTTTTGGTGGGTTCAGCGTTGCTACACAACACCCGCCCGTCCTTGAATGGCTGTGAGTGCTTGATCAAGATAGTAACGCAGATATTTTCGTCAGGTCTCAATTGTTGCCCAATCTTCATGAGTGGCCAGCGTTCATTCGTCTGATGGTTCCATGTCGTGATAGGCTGCTACGGTCCAGTCGTTTGCGGTAGAGGTAAACGAGGCCTACAGATGAATGGTCGTAGGCCTCATGCATGTATCGGATTGGTTCAATGTTCGAAACAGGCAGACAAACACGAAAATAAGAGCTTAGGGATTGGCGCAAGACGTGCTTAAATGGCGGAACGAGTGGAGAGAAGGTACGAGAGGACAATGAGCGAGCATGAGGTCCGTGTCGGATGAGTTCGCCAGTTTACATTTCTTACTCTTCCCTCCAAACAACGTCAAAAACGAAGTTGAGATCCCCTTCATCGGCTTCCGTCATCTCTTTAACAAGATGTTTCAATCAGCTGGCAAAGACCTTTAATCTTCACGCCGTGTTTGCCTACCAGGTGTGCAAACGTCCTTCATCCTTTGTGTGACTGACTGTTCCTCGACAGATGTTTGCCTTAAGGGTTTGCAGCTTCTGCTAACTTGTCCATTAGGTTTGACTCATTGATAACTGGTCAAACGCTGGTGAATCAGATATCACCTCTACATTATTTCCGCTCCTCCCACTGGATCGGCAAAGGGGAGATTTCATTGTCTGGACGACAACGAACTCTCACCTTACAACTTAACGGCAGATAACTGGTACACTCACCTCTTACCCTTCACGTACCTTTCTTCTTCCCATCTTTTCCCCCGCACACCAGATACCAGAACTCACTTCTTCTTCCGTCATCCATCATCTCCAAGGAAGAAGACTCCTTCTTCCTTCTTCCTCAGTAACACCTTCCACCTCTCACCCAGACTATCCACCGGCACCAACCCTCACAGCACACGCGCGCGCAACTGCCTAATCGAAGCAAGTCGCGTCATGGCTTCTCGACAACAAACCTCCCACATGGCTCATGTGCAGCTCATGGGCAAAGCGGCAATGGGCCGTCAAGTCGCCGAGCCCATCGTCGCCTCCGAGGAGTACATGCAGTACCTGACCAAGCTGATCCCATCTACACCGGAGCTTGTAAAGGCCGGCTTCGTAGTGAGTCCGCTCACCCCGACGGAGCTTCAGGCAAAGGTCAAGTGCAAGAACTGCCACAAGAGATGTGAGTCCTCACCTACCGGCACATACCGCTGATCGGTGCCAGGCACCGTCACTGACTTTTCGTTCACCGGCAGGCACAAAACCTGATCGTCCACCTAGAGGTAGAAACTCCTCCTACGCCGGCAACATGGAGGGTTCCAGTAATGGAAGCTTCACAAACGAAACTGCCTCTACTGCGTCAAACTCTGGCCCGAGCCAGACGTGTAGACTCAGAAGCCATGGCGAGCTGCTTGACGAGGGCAAGCAGGCTGAGACTACCTCTGCAGGTATCAACAGCAAACATAAACCCAATATGATCTGCAAGTACCACCCCGGGCGAGTTAACAACAAGGCAAGTTCTCCCCATCCCACTCACCAAACATCAGAAAACCTCCCACTAACCTACCCATCTAGACCTGGACGTGCTGCACCCTCCACGTCTCCCAACCCCCCTGCTCCAGCTCCCCATCTCACACCCCTGTAACCTACGCCCCCGGCATCCTCGAATCCCGGTGGCTCTTCCTCCCCACTCCTTCCACTTCCCCTTCCACTTCCTTTTCCCTTTCCCCTTCCACTTTATTTTCCCCTTCAATTTCCCCTTTCCCTCTAACTTCCCAACCCTCTTTAAACCCCCAACCCCAAGCGCCACCGTCCCCTTCTCAATTCCGCCCCGCCGTCGCCATCGACTGCGAAATGGGCGTCTCCTCCGACTTTGAATCCGAACTCATCCGTCTCTCCTTAATCGACTACTTCTCCGGGCAAATCCTCATTGACCGCCTCGTCCGCCCCAAGGTTCCAATGCAACACATGAACACGCGCTACTCGGGCGTCACGCGGCAGGATCTTCAGAATGCCATTCGCAACAGGACTTGTATCCTCGGTGGACTGGAAGAGGCGCGCAAAGAGGTGTGGAAGTTTGTAGGGCCGCAGACTGTGGTAGTTGGACACTCGGTAAGAAACGATTTGAGTGCTTTAAGGTGGATACATAAACGGTGTGTGGATAGTTTGGTGGTGGAGGAGGGGGTGAGGAGGAAGATCAAGGCCAAGGAGGAGGAGGAGGAAAAGGTGAGGGAAAAGCAGAAAGACGAGAGGTTGTTGGAGATAAGCTTGCATTGTGGCCCGGGGATGGCGGAGGAGACGAGAAGGATGATGGAGGAGGAGGAGATCAAGGAGAAGGAGAAGATGAAGAAGATGAGGGGGAAGAGAGGGGAAGATGGCATGTCGTTGAAGGCGCTGACCAAGAAGAAGCTTGGTCGTGTGATTCAGGATGGTGGGAAGAAGGGGCATGATAGCGTTGAGGACGCTGTGGCGGCTAGGGACTTGATCCACCATCATATTTTGGGTCTGATGCAGAAGGACAAGGAGAAGAAGGAGGCCGAGAGGGAGGCTGAGGCTGCTTTTGCTCAGGTACTGGCGGAGGGTACGAGGGATGCGGAAATAGGTTCTGTTTTTGCTGCTTTCCCATGAGTTGGGATTCTGGAAACGCAGGCAATGGCCCTTCGTTTGGACTTTAACATCCAGGCAGCAAAACTGCCTAGGGTAGGGACATGGAGGTCAGACCACGATGGGCCACAGCCGTCTTTGATAGCTGCTAGTGCAGGCGGCAACAGGAGCAAAGCTACCGGGTAGCTGGCAGAGTTGAGAACAAATACAGAAAGATTTTGCGTGTACGTAAGGATAATCGAACGTAAGAGTGCAAAGGAAATAAACCATCAAACAAAGTACCGCTGTAGTGGCTAGGTATCACCCATGCCCTAGACTCCTTGTTACTCCCACGCCGTTGCCATCCAGTCCCTCAACTCTGTGATTTTTTGGGTCAGGTTAAGTTCTTTCTTTTCTCTTTCACTTCCCTCTAGTTCCCAAATGCTGCCCGTTTATTGCCTTCTTGTCCTCGGGTGTCCATTTTGTCCAAAGCGGTTCTTCGCTCTGTGTTCAATTTCCTATACTGATTCCGGGGGACGTAGGCCTTCAGAATAAGGTAGTACCAAGAAGAGTGATACTTCCTTGTATGGCGTCGAATTGGTGGAAGTACCTATCAACAGCGATGCTTTCCCGCGGCACGGTGCCTCTTCAAGCGATCCTTGCGGCGGAACTTCAAGGTGCAGCCGCTGTGAGAGCATGGTATCTCTGGGCTCAAGCTCCACCCTGCGCCAGTCAAGTCCTCAGGTCTGTCATCATGTTTGTCGTCAATGTGACGCTGCATGTCCCGTTTGGTCGCCGATGTATGACCGCAGGTGTTGATGGGGCATGGGATGCGATCTGAGGAGCTGGGGCTGGGACTTCTATAGCGGAGGCGAGGGATGTCAGTTTCGTCGTTCGCAAATTCGAGCGTTGGCTCCGGTGGTCAATGGTAGCTGTGTTTACAGGAAGCGCTTACTTGGGGCCAGTTGCCGGTGTATGAGACGGTTCCTGGCGTTCTGGACTGGGAGATGGAGCATTGGCTGGTGGTACTGATGTCTCCGAGGTCGAGGTACCTCTGCCGTTGGAAGACTGGTCAATAGAGGTAAAGAAGTCGAACTCGGTCGAATTGCCGAAGAGGGTGGCCGTGGACATGCCATTTTTATGAATGTCGACCGTACCTCTATCCATCTGGCTCTGAAGAAGGCTGGCGTCATGGGTAAAAGTGTTGCCGGCTTCTTGGATAGAATCCCAGGTCATGAACTTGCTGGAATCAAAGGGGGGGAAAGGATTGTTGCATGGAAAGTCACTGGATGAAGCAGAACAGTGATTTCCTGTCTGAGGAGAGTGGTTGCCATGGGGAAAAGAAGGCGTCCACTGTTCATGGGCCGCGGGCGCAGAGGTTGTTGAGGGGGCAGAGAAGTGGTTCGAAATTTGTGATTGGATGCGCTTGACATCCTCGCAGAGCTGCAAGAACCTCTGGTAATGCCAGGCTTGGAGGGCAAGGGCTTCCTGCATCTGAAGGTGGTGGCTGCCCTTCAAGTTGTCCTCGGTTTGCAAGAGGGCCGGGTATCTCACCAAAGCATGTGGGGTCGTGAATGGAAAGAGCGCATTTCCGGATGAGGACGCTGCAGGGGAAGTCACAACTCTCTGGCTCTGGGCATCTAACAAAGACACGGGTGTTGTCATGAACGCATCGCCGGTGTGGGAAAGGTTCGTGTAGTCAGAGTTATGTTTTACCCTGTCACCAACCATTCCAACCCTATGCGAAGAGCTGGAGGCGGACCCATTCGGGATCATATACAGAAAATCGACGTGATCTGACATGATACCAAGAATCCTCGTGTGTCTGCAATGAGTGGTAAAAGTTACAAGTTGTGGTGTGTACTACGGACTACATTTTGGCAGCGATTGGGCTCCTTTATTTCTACGAAAAAATGTAAAGGATGTGGCCGAGGGGTTGGAAGTTGCCCGGAATTGCGAAGCGAGCGACCTTCCTGCCCACTACTTATGTTTCCCGTCTGACACCTAGCAGACACCCAGGGCCTCACTTACAGGCGACTCACGAGCTAAAGTCGCCGTGAAACAACACCATAGGTCCAGCCTCTTCAATCTTACAGCGAGGCATTGCCGCGATGGCCTCACGCAAGATCCCGTCCGCTGACGACGCGAACCATGTTTATAACTATACTAGCACGTTACAATGTCGGCCATGAAGTCCACAAGCGAAATTGGAAGTGCACAATTTGGCACGCACCGTAAAGCGTGTCGCGCCCTCATTCGAGCGGGGACTGTCAGCTGAACTGCTATTCCGCCTGGGGCCTCTTCGGGGGCCCTTTGGCCTCTCAGCCACTCGTGGCCTCAATCGCGAGGAAGCAACATCATTGGATGGGTGTTCGTGTTTCAAAACAGGGGCCTGGCCAACATGTGTGCCAACTGAATATTCTGGAGACGATGATGGCCGACTGGTTAGGTAGAGTCGACGCGGTCGGGTGCTTGAGTGGAGTTTGGATGCCCTGTTTCTTTCCCGACCAAAGGAAGAAACAGCCAGCTTAGATGGCGGACTAACACCAAGGCGTCATTTTCTTGGGTTTTCACAAGGAGCATCGTTAGGATGTTAGCAGGCTAGTAAGCGACATTACTGCCCTGAGGGAGGATGTTCAGTTGTCGCCAAAGTGCCAAGCCACCTGCAAAATCTGGATATAATGCCCAAATCAACTGACATTTTCAACAATAAGCGCCAATGGTCTAACGGCTAGGATTCATCCCTTCCAAGGATGAGGTGGGGGTTCGATTCCCTCTTGGCGCAACTTTTTGTCTCTTTTTTCATGATTTCTTTTTGCTTTTCTTCTTCAGTTTCGATTATCTTCGTCTTCTCTTTTTTTTTTTTTTTCTTCGTTCTTGTAATATTATTTTCTACTATCTTTGCATTTGGAGGTTCCGTGTTATCCACGCAAGCAAGCACGCCAAGGCAGCAACGTCGCCTGATGTGCCAGACATAACAGAAGCACGGTCATCATGTTCAATAGGTGTGTGTCAACGGTTAGGAACAGCAAACTTCATTGACACGATGGGATTCAAGGTCTTTTGGACTTCAGGTACGTCTACATGATTATTCAAAAACTAAAAGCATCAAGCAGAATTCGACAACAAAAAACAAAGTTTTGCACCAGAGTGAACATCATACAAAGAAATCGCAGCCAAGTTGAACTCCTGCGCCTCTGCCTTCGCCTCCGTCTGGTCAATCGTCACCAACGACCTTCCACACCTCTAGGTGATACCAATCAGGCAGCAAACCTTACTACCCTCCACCCCCTAGGGTACTTATCCCCCTCCCTCTCGACAACCTGCGAAGGCGCGGAGTAGCTCACCGAGTGCCGTCGACGGGTGCGAGGCTCGCTTCTAGTCCTGAGCTCGTAAGCGTCAAAGTCCCGTGCGGATCGCGGACCACGGGGGTGCAAGTCCCAGTGGGTGCTTGGGACTGGGATGTTTGGGCTTGGGATGTTCCAATCAGTCAAGCGATCATCGAATCGGCGCTCGGACCGGTCATCGTGGTGATGCCGGCGAGGATGGCGGTCGTTCTGATGGTCCCGGTCAAGAGGGCGGTGTCCGTGCCCGTGGCGAACATCGTCGGGGTGCTGCCAATCACGATCACGGTGGATGTGCGTCTCCTTTGAAGAAGACCGCGGTCGGTCGTAGGTGTATTCATGTTCGCGGTGATGATCATGGCCGTGGGTTCTACCCCTTTCGCGGCGGCGGTGATCGCGGGGTCCGTACTCGTACTCGTCGTCGGTGTAGATGCGCGGCGCGGGGATTTCATGTAGGAACTCGTCGAAGCGGACTCTCGGCTGCTGCGGATGTTCGAGCTCCTTCGGTGGGCGAGCAGGGACCGTAGAAATAGGAACGGACTGAGGAGCTGGAGCTGGAGCAGGAATCTCGGCTGGCGGCAGTTGCCCATCGTCATAAGGCGGAGGGGCACTTCCCGTCGGAGAAGAAGGGTTTGATCCCGACGCTACTCCAGCCAGAGTAGGCCCAGAGAGATCTCGCCACGTCTCCCACTCTCGCCTTCGTGGTGTAGCCTCTTCATCGTGCCTCCTCCCCCTCTCCCTCTTTGCTCTGCCGGCCTTTTCCTCCTTCTCCTTCTTTTCTCTCTCCTCTCTGTCCCACACGCTCCTCAGCTCGACCTGGTATCCCTTGATGACACCAAACAGCTCCTTCACAAGCTCCTCGTAGTCCTTCCCTTGTCTTTCGAGGCGAGCGATCTCATCGAGCAAAGGTTGAATCTGCTCCTGCTTGAACGTGGCATAGGACGCTAGGATGGCTTGTTGGAGACAGGGGTCATAGTTGGCAGAGCGTTCTTTGTGTTGATGGTGGAGTTGGTCGATGGAGGACCAGAGGAGGGCGAGCTCGGCGGAGATCCATTGGTGGAGGTCGGGGTTGTCGGTTTGGGGTTTGAACTGGGATGAGGGCTCGGGAGCTCGATGATGCTCGGGTGCTGATTGGCGAGCCTGATGGTCGCTGAGCTGAGTATGGAGGTCAGGCCATTGAGCCCAGGAGACGTGCTTGAGATCGTCGTTGCTGTGGTGGAAAGATTAGTGGGAGATAATACGCCAAATCGTGGGCGTGGAACCTACTCCTCGGCTTCCGAGTCGTCCTGAAAGAGCTCGTAGCGGTACTCGTACTCTTTCCGAACCTTCTTCTCTCTGTCTCCGTGCCGTCTGGAGGGCTTTCGGTGGATTTCTACCTCGTGCACATGGTGTTCATTCCTTGGCCTCGACTCGCTCGAGGAGGTTCTTTCAACGGAGCGGGCTCTGGAACGGCGGCGATGGCTTGGTTGGCGCACGCTACTCGGCATCAGTCCACTGCATGACCAAATTCAGGCTTGGACAAAAAGATACTCACACGTAGTACTCGCTTTGGTAGGAATTCTGGCCCTTGACTTCACGGAAAATCCTGGAAATAGTACCGAGTGCCATGTTTCGTCAAGCTTTGAAGTGACAGTGTGTATCGAGTGGAGATTGGAACTAAGGAAAAGATGACGAGCAGATTGATCTAGCGCCATCTTGAACAGGTCATATATAAAAACAAGCTTGAGCAATGGAAACCTAGCTCCCAACCGAACTCTAAGCTTTTCCTAGCTCGTTCCATGGACAAAGGAACGATAGCACCAACATGAACTTGCATGTTAGCAGACAAAAGCACTTGCCCTTGAAGTCCATGATGGAGTGACGGGATGGATGTTGGCCGAACAAAGCGTGGGGCGTACACAACGTTTTTTTTTTTTTTTTTTTTTTTTGAACAAAGGAGCTTCCGATAGCTTTTGGGAGGGCTGCGCCGAGCTCCAGACCTCCATGTGCTAGAGCTCGCTTGTAAAAGGTGCAGAATAACAAAAGGTCTGCTGCTAACGGAAGCGTCGTGTTTTGGAAGGCCTTGTTGGTTCATGCAGGTCACCGAGGGAGGCTCTTTGATGGATATCCGCATCCATTGTCCCTTGTCTCGTTGGCGGCCCTGCTCGCCGGTTTCCGCGGTCTTTGAACTGACTGTTGGCACTGCACTGGTGAGGCGCCGGAGTGAGATGGATGTCTTCAGGTAGTGAAAGCTTCTAAACCAGGTCGGTGGGATTGGCAAACATTGATAAAAGGAAGCAGTTTCGAAATGGTCTTCATCTAGGTAAGTAGTTCACCTCGGTGAGGGTCATGATAAGGCCGGTCACCGTGCGAGTGTTGGCCCCGCATGCACAAGTCTGGCCGCACTCAGTGCTCCCAACACCCACTCAGAACGTGGCGCGCACTGGCAGAAGGAGACGGGATGATGGTTCGTCATGACGTAAATCGATGTAAGGGCCGATAGTCCGACTTTATTGAGATTGAGATGTTGTAAGTTAATGGAGTGAAGTCCAAGTGGAAATCCTTCAGCGGCCGATGAAAGATTGTGTAACGCTGCTGCCGGTAACGTAACCGCGTCTCCTCCACCCGGCATCTTCCTTTCAGGTTTTGGTTGTTATCGGTTGTCTTTATCAATGTATGACAGCCCCCACCAGCTGCTGCCGACTGGCCGCTGTAAGGCTGAGATGCACAGTCAGGATCCGTGGCTCAAAGTTGGCGCTGGGACTGCAAAGCACGAGCCACTGCCGAGGACATCGATCTTGCCTCAAAAGGACCCCTGTCCAATTTCTCCATTTGTCATACTAACTTTCCATCTTCTAGACTCCTCAACCTCACTTTATTCAGTGTTCCATCTTCAACAGGGAACCATCAACAGCCATTTCCTGGTCTACCTACCACACTAGACGTATATACGCGTAGTTTACCTTGAAGCATTCATACACGGCTTCACTCTTTCATCAAGTTTAGGTACCTGAATCGAAATATCTCAGTCCACCAAACAACAACAAGGAACAGAAACAGACCACGCAAGACATCCAGTTCCAGTTCCAGGAAATCCTTCATCCGACACAATGAGCCAACCACAGGGACAAACACCACAACAAACAGACGACACACCAATGCAAGACTCCTCCTCCTCCTCCTCAGAACATGACCCACCAAAGAAACTCACCCTCCTCGACCTCCCGCCCGAAATCCTCCACCAAGTGTGCGCCCACCTCCCCCTCAAATCCATCCGCTCCTTCCGCCTCACCAACCGTTTCCTCGGCGAAATCGGCGCCTGCCACGCCCTGCCAGAGCTCGTCTTCTACCTGCACACGACCGACTTTGCCGCCCTCCGCTCCATCGCCTCGCACCCCATCTACCCGCGCTTCGTGCGCTCCCTGATCTACGGATGCGACCTCTTGCCTTCGTCCCGGCTTTCGCTCAAGCAGTACATAGCCGAATGCCGGCGCATGGAGAAGCGACGGGCCAAGATGCACGCGCGCCATGCGTGCGACGAGGCGAATCGCCCGCCGAAACCACAGGCGGAGGTGAGGGAGAGTTACAAGGAGTACAAGCGCGTGCATCAGGCGCAGGAGGAAATCATGCGCGACGAAAGGGATTATGAAATTTTGAGAGAAGTGGTGGGCAAGATGACGAATCTGAAGGAGGTCATGGTTAGCAGCGACTTTGAGTTTCGGGTGGGGAGCGGGACTTCTTCTTCGAGTTCATCCAATGGCGGGAACGGTCCCATGAAGAGCGACGCGCTGAGGAACTGCAGGACGCCATTCGACAAGCTCGATTGTCTGACGCAGTTGGATGGAGAAAAGGGACAGGAAGGGGTCAGGCATTTGCGGGCGATTTTGATGGCTGTGAAGGAGGCGGGGATCGAACTCAAGAGTCTCTGCGCGGGACTGATTCACTGGAGCTTTTTCAACGAGGCGTTGGGCAATTTCGGGTTTCACAGTATGGGGAACTTGCTGGCCAACCTAACGCGGTTCGAGCTCCTTGTGCTCCCTGGGCCGAGCCAGGACCCGGAGGATTTCCAGCGCGCGGACGCGATCGAGATGAATAACATGAGCATCGACGTGATGGAAGAGATTTACCGGTGCCAGGGGCTGATGAGGACGGGCGTCATTCGGAATCTGGTAAAAGGCATGCCGAACTTGGAGGTATTGTCGATCGGGTTCATGGACCATGCGGAAGACAACGACTTCATCTTTCCCGCGAGGTTGCAGGATGTCGTTCCGCTGAACCACACCTTCCCGAACCTGGAGAGCTTGAAGCTCGAAGGGTTGGAGACGGAGAGGCAGGAGTTGACGGACTTTGTGGTCAGGCATAAGGACAGCTTGATGAGGCTGGAACTCAGGGATATGCGACTCGTCACGACCTCGTGGAGGAAGCTGTTGCCGGAGCTGCGGTACGAACTCAAGACGGAATTGATGGAGGAGGTATCCATCTACGGTATGGCGCTAGGAATGGGCGAGGAGGACGGCGATCAGGAGCTGGAGGAGTGGTTCATGGGTGATCCAGAGGATCATGGGGCGACGGAGCTGGCGACCAAAGTCCAAAAGTTCTTTATGAATCCGAACGTGAGCGACTGCCCGCTGTCGAGGGAGAACATGGAGCCTATGTGAGTACTCATCTCTACCCACCATTCAACTCGACAATTGCATGAGGAAACGAAACACTGACCTTTATCGCGAAACAGCCCCGACGATGACTTGATGGACGAAGATATTCTGGACCATCCTCTTGAGGGTCTGATGCCGGACCACGAGCTGGCTGAACTCATCTTGGGAGGCATGCAGTTTCCGGGAGGAGGACATCCGTTTCAGGACCCATTCGATGATCCGTCATTCGAGGCTCCGGAAGACTGGTTGGACTGATGGAGGAGCAGTGGTCATCTATAATATATATGAAAGATGGAATGGAAAGATGCATGGTACAAAAGCTGGACAGCATGGCTTCAATGGGGCGTCAAGGACAAACGCAAAGATGCATATAACTCACAGCGGCAACATGATTATGAAATACGGTGAATTGCACAGGTTTTAGCGGAAGAAGAGGTATTATTCAGACAGCATCAGGAAGAATGAGATATAACTTCAATAGAGAATGTGTTGCAATCACTCATGGCAAGCTGTCGTATCAAGAGGCACGTTGTAGATTGCAAGATGAATGGCATGCTATGACACGAGGCAGGACTCTGCTGCCTTGAAAAAGCCAAGTCAGAAATGGTCACAGAAACAGCCAATAAGCGCCAGTGGTTTAGTGGTAAAATCCATCGTTGCCATCGATGGGCCCCGCGTTCGATTCGCGGCTGGCGCAATTCGGTTTCTCTTTTTGCACTTTTTTTTTTTCTCTAGTTTGCGTTTCACAACTAAAGTGCCAGCACGGCATGCATGATAAGAGGCTCTGATCTATTCTTTTTTTTTCTTTCTGTGCTCGCCTAGTAGTTCTCAGATAACGGGATACGTAGCTTATCCTATGGGATCTACTTTTTCGCAAGCTACCTAGTGAAAGTGCAGAAACATTTGTTGATTGTTTGGATCTTCCTTCCTTCAGCAGCACCGTTGTGTTGTGTTCTCGGGCTGTTTCAAGTATTTCACAACCACCTCTCCTGGCCCGTGCACACACAACAGGTCCTTAACAAAAAAAGAACTTTGTTGCTCCAGACTGGAGATGGCAATACAAAGCACAAGGAAAAAAGGAACGCCACAAAAAACGCAAAAAGATATTGAGACTCGGATACCGGGAGTCGAACCCGGGGCTGTTGAGAGAGCAGTCACTCCTAAGAAGTGAGAGTCAACGATGTTACCGCTACACCATACCCGATTCAAGATGCGAAGATCTGAAGGAGATGGTCCCGATTGGATGATGGGAGACATTGAAGGAAAATGGGTTTATGAAGGGCAGATTTTCTGTGGTGTGGGTGGAGCGGAAGAGCGGGTTTGGTTTGGGGTTCCCGGGATGAGGGTGTGAGCGGGTTGAGGGCTGGCTGGTGCTTCTTGGAGAAAATAAGAGAGCAAACAGTGGTTTGAATGTTTTCTTGATATTCCATTTGTCTGGTCGTCAGATGATGCAATATGGAAAATAAACGACGTCGAAAAACACAGTCCCGACCGTCCGGAACCAAAGCCGGCGTGATCGGGACCGGCTGTTGATGACGAAGTCGGACGCGGTCGGGCAACACGGAGGTGGGCGAGCGGAGGCCAAGAAATGGACGAACCAAGCGTCCAGCCCTGGGCAACCAGACGAACACTGGAGGGCACAGACCAAGTCTTAAACCAAAAGTGGACTAGCGTGACCTTGTGCGCTTCGCAAGCCCCCACAGAATGGTTGCTGACTAACCGCACACAAGGTGAATTTTCAATGACAGTCGCGAAACTCAATCCTCCTCTCCGAAGTGTAGCGACAACGGTATTTACGAGGAGCCCATTCGAGATCCGTCAAGGTGCGTTGAGCAGCAACCAGTTATTGCCAATTTGACCATCAGTACTAACTGTCGCCGTCAAGATGATTGAACCATCCCTCAAGGCGGTTAGTAGCCCCCGTTGTTGACTCCCACCAAAATCACCGACGAATTTCCCTCGAAAAAAAAGAAAGAAGGCGACAAGACGCCATCACGACAAAGGCCGCATGACCAGCAACGGCGACAGCGATGACTTCGACGACAACAAGACAACCACGATACCGACGACCACCGCCACCATGAATCAAACGACCGATGACATTGTTATTGGAGGAATATGCAGAGTCTGACCATGGTGTTTTGTTACTTTAGTTGGCGTCGAAGTTCAACTGCGACAAGATGATTTGGTATGTTCACCGCCACCACCAGACGAATCTCTGTTGCCTGGCAGCAGGTACAGCGAACATCCAGCGACGGAAATACTGACTGACTCGCAACAGCCGCAAGTGCTACGCTCGTCTCCCTCCTCGTGCCACCAACTGCCGCAAGCGCAAGTGCGGCCACACCAACCAGCTCCGCCCCAAGAAGAAGTACGTCTACGCTTGTCTCCGATACCGATTACGAGCATCATCACCAGCACCACGACCACATCCAACCGCTCCCGTCCCGTCCCTTTCATCACCACACTCATCACCACTACTACCACCACTACCACCTCACACTTGGACCGATCACACACAAGACATGGTACTAACAATTACCCCCCCCCTCTAGGCTTAAATAAGCGGATCGCCCCCATTCGGGCTCAGACTCAGCGGTTCTTTTTCTTCGACAACGAGGACGTATTGGTGGACGACTATGGCTTGCTTTGTTGCCGCTGTCGCTATCGCTGCAGTGGCGGCTTGACGGAAGAAGAGGATTGGAAACATTCAGCACTTCTGGCTGCTACAACACCGCCACTACACCATGATCCGGACTACATCACCACTTTTCGGGCTGGGGCGGATTTGTTAGCAAAGCAAGACTCCTGTAGCACGAATACGAAGACTGCTGCCGTCTGGCCTTGGCATTAGGTTCATGATGACAGTCTGAAAATTCATACCCTGTTTTTGAGGCAAGGCCGTTGTGTGACCGATGCAACAATGGGAGCGACTGGACATGGAGGATCAACGAGAGGAACATCTGGATGAATGGCGACTGGCGTCGGCGAGTGCCCATGACAGGAAATGCGCGGTCCCTATGCCTACCGGCTTAGAAATCTGCTCCCATGACTGGTAGGACGGGCACGTCTTGCCGATCGGAAATCTACAACACCCTGCCGCAGACGGTCCTCATCTCACCCTCAGGTGACACGGACGGTCTCGTCGAGGATTGAAGGAAGACTGTATACGCTAGCAAGACGCGCGTCGATGGACAATCTCCTCCCCGGCCAGCTTCCCCTTCCCACCGGGGCCTGCGCGCCTGTCTTTCTGTGTCAATCCCCTTTTGATTCTATCAAGGTGCTATTTGCCCCCTTGCTCATACTGCCGATATCCCGAGTTCGACAATTTCGATTCCTCGATCATCGGGATCGACTTTGGGCAAGTGTCCGCTGTCAGAATCCCATGGTTGGGTTTACCCAATCATCTTCCCTACCCCTTGACATTTTGGGTCCAAGAAGACATTACCATGTCACTTGCTTGGGTAACAACTACGTCACTGTAATGAGTTGGTTATCTTCATGAACTGCTTCATAACGTCGAAAGCTGTCAAATTCCAGAACGTACAACGACAACAGCTTAACATTCATGTGTCGAGTACAATAAGGACAGGATCAGTTGCAGGTACAAAAGTCTCAACACTAACAAGTGCCTCTGCCGGTTGATTACCCAGGTCTTCACTTACACATGCTTACCTCACTCTTCTGAAGTATTTCAAACTGTCTTGTGTCAGCCCTCGTATCACACACACCATGGTATTTGGGGTTTGAAGCGGTGCAGCGGTGATGTGGCTTGGCGCTGGCGGCTGAACCAGTTCCAGCCAATCAAACAACACAGATCTGCTAGATTTACGGGGCATCACCACCTCACATCTGAACGTCAGCATCTGCCACGCAATTTACACTACCCACCACCCCAGGACCCTTTGGACCCTTCCTTCAACCCCCCCTCTCATCCTACACCACACTACCACTGACCGCACCACACCCGCCAAATTGTACGGAACGGTTTCCGCATGATGATCCATGGGTTAAGGTAAGTTATCCACAACACCATGGTACTGCAGCACTGGACATGCCCTTACATACACACAGACACACACACTCTCTCTCTCTGTCTCTTTCCCTGTGAACAAGCGGCAGCACCGCTTGCTCGGCACTCGGCTTGCCTTTTTAGGCCTTAGACTGACTACCTACGGTTGGACGGCAGCCAAGACGATGATCTTGGTTGGAAAGCCCCTTTTTTACTCGGAGTGACGACGACGCCCAACCAAAGCTGATTACGTGAGAGGAGCTGCTATTCTTGGGCCATTATTTACATCCGGCGACGACCAAAAAGATCACGAGATTTCCCACCCCAAAAATGCTTCATTTCCAGAAACTCTTCTCAGAATCGGGACATTCCAACAGGATCGGGAAAATCCAGGTGTGAACTGGATACCGGGCAACCCCACATCTGATGGACGTTTCCCGCTTAAACCCGGTTCAGGAAAGGGTCAGCGTGGTTCCCCCTGAAAACGTCCATTTCAAAAGGGTCCATATTTTTTGATTTGATTAGAGCAGATCACGAACATGAAGGCATTCGGAGTTCTCCTCAGTCAGGTATCAATGGGCTTGTGTGAGCCTGACCTAGGTCCTACCCTTCGTTTATGCCTACCTAGTTGTAAGTAAGTTCTGGCTAGGGGAGATGTCCTTGTATGTGTGCCCCTTCTTCTTGGTATCATGCCAAGTGGAAGCTTTCCCTCAACCTCGCCCTATGATCAAAGTTCAATGTACCAAAAAACGCATCATTAACTGTCGAGTAGCGGTAGCGGTAATGCTGAAGGCCGCAGCGGTCATGGAACCGGCGGCACACATGGCAATAGCTTCACTTCAAATTGCAATATAGAAAAGGGCACAGGCGATGACGTCGACACCCAAGAAAAGTGGAGGGTCTATCTCGCTACGGTTTTGGGTGTCGACGCCATGAGTGGTGGTGAAGCTTTGGGTTTCCGGTCATGGTCATGGTTTTTTTTGGGTTCGGATCCAGGATGTCGTGAGAAGCACAGGAAAGGGAGGCAAAGTGTGCCCAAGTTCCTCTTGACCTTCAAGAGGGCCTACCTGCCCAGTCCCGGAAGTGGGTACAGCCAGGTAAGTTGAGAAGATCAATGATCATCAACACCTACTTACCCTCGGTGCTTCCGAGTGAGGCGCCAGAAAACCTCGGGGTAGGTATAAAACTATCCTCCATCTGCTCCGAATTCCGTCGGACTTTCTCATCACACACACCGACAAACGCCATCACCACGAGCTAGCTACCTACAGATAAGGTACCTAGCTTCACACTCTCAGAACAAAGCCAGGCAACCTACTTACCAATCATCTTTTTTCTCTCCTCCCAACTGCAAACGAGCAATCACAACCCAACCAACCAACCATTTAACCAAAAAAAAAAGAAAGACCAAAAAGAAAACCCAAAATGAAACTCACCACCATTCTCCTCACCCTCGGCATCACCGCCGCCGCCCCATCCACCGTCCTCGCCGCCCCCGCCCCGGAGTACAACTACTACCAACAAGCCAACACCCCGGACATCGTCGATATGTTCGTCAACGCCAACTACTACGGAAACAAGTACACGGGCTCCGCGTACGAAGGGCAATGCGTCAACCTGCCGCCCAACTTCAACGACAACCTCAGCAGCGGCCGCGCCCGGCCCGGGTACCATTGCACGGTGTGGCCTGATGCCAATTGCCGGACCAACAAGTGGAACTTTACCTTTGATGATCGGGGGTCCGGCGCGAGGTTCCCGGATTGGATCAATGATCGGGCTAGTAGTTGGCGGTGTGTTAGGTATTAGGTGCCAACTACCTAAGAATGGGGAGGGGGAGAGAGAGGGAGGGGGAGGGATCCTAATGAGACTGGACTGCGCATGGCGGAAAGAGCAGCGCTCCCCGAATAACGGAACTGTCAATCCCTAAGAAGCAACGAGAGCCAACCTACACAGCGAGACAGCGCAACAAACATGACATGGACTCCAATGGGCGGAGAGAAAGGCCTGGCCTGGCCTCAGTTCACGCAGTCTTGACCTGATCTCATGTTGTCTTATCTTCGTACAACGCACCTGCGTCCTCGAGAATTCCTGGTATATCCCCGTGAGGGAGTACTCAGGGCTGGGGTCGAAGGCGTGAAGTTGTCTGGCAGCGCGCACAAGGATTGGATCTCTCAGCGTACCCGTCGAAGTTACGGCTGCGCTCCGCTAAGCTATCCGGAGACCGTGCTGGGATTGAGTGAAAGGAACGGGGTTGAGATACCATGATAATGTCGGGGCGAGGAGGACATAGGGGAAGTAAGAAGCTTGCAGTTTCTTTTCCTCGTCCTACTGGGTTTCCTTTTTTTTCTCTTTTCCTTTTTTTTTTTTTTTTTTTTTTTTTTCCTTTTTTTTATTGGAGATTTTGTTTTTTTAATCACCAGTTTGTGACATGCATTCTGATACCCCATAGACTACTATTGTTTGTTTCAATGAGAGGATTTTTTCTTGTTCCCCGGGATTGGTTTGATGAATGATGTTCTTTCAACTGTCTACACTACCGTGTTTTGTTTGATCACTGCACGAAAATCTTCCGAGGCGGACTGGAGGTGTGTAAAAGGCCTTTTATCGAAAGTGGAAGTAGCATGCTGGGGGTTAAGTACAAACTGGGGCAAAAAACAATGAAAGAAAAGCAAAGAACAGGACAGAACAGAACAGGACAGTACGGGGTAAAAGAAACAGGTTTCTTTTCCCCTTCTTCACTCCGACACCAGACTTCGACACTCTGAGTCGTTCACCCAGTACCCGACTCTCAACTTCTACCTCTCATACCCATCCCTCTTTCCTCCCCTTACATATCCCCCCTCTCATCCTCTCCTCCCAACCTCCCCTTATCCTCCCCTCCTTTCCTCCCCTCCTTTCCTCCCCTCCTTTCCTCCCCTCCTTTCCTCCCCTCCTTTCCTCCCCTCCTTTCCTCCCCTCCTTTCCTCCCCTCCTTTCCTCCCCTACTTTCCTCCCCTCCTCAATCCCATCACAGCCATGCCTACAACCAACTCTCGTCTCAAGCCTCATCTCAACTCTCATCTCTAAGTCTCCTCCCAACCGGACCTCTCAACACCCAACACCCAAAACCCAGCCCACCCCACCCAAGACAACTACCTAATCCCTCACACACTTCCAACTACTCACCTTATCATTGATCCAATCCGGAAAACTCGCCGATCCAGGGTTCTGATTAAAACTGAACCCCGTACCCCTGCAGTTGCTATCGACCCAAATCGTGCACCGGAACCCGGCCTTGGCTTTACCCGAAGACGCAATGTCGTTGAAGTTGGAGGGCAGGTTCTTGCAGTCGCCTGGGTTGGCGGAGCCGGTGAACTTGAGGTCGAGGAAGTTTTTGTTCTTCCAGAGGTCGATGAGGTCTTGGGCGCGGGGTTCGAGGGCGGCCTCGGGAGCGGGCCAAGGGGCAGGGGCAGGGGCGGCGATGGTCAGGGTGGTGAGGAGGGTGGTGAGGAGGGTGCATGTGGTGAGGTGCATTTTGAAGGTTGGGTTTGGGGGTTGGTTGAGGTTTATGGGGACAGGATGAAGTGGGTTTGGTTGGTTGGGTTGGTTGTTTGGATTGGAGGTGAAGGAAGGGGAAGTTGCTGATGATGGGAAGAAGAGCTGGATCGAAGAGAGAGTGGGATTGATCGTTTTATACGTGTTGTCGAAGGCTTTCTGTGATCAAAATGCTTGGGTGTCTCGAAACGGGTTCCAAGTTTGACGCGCTCATCGCCTTCGCCTCTTCGACCACCTTTGGAGTTTGGACACTCCAACACCAGTCATCGAAACTGCCACGCCGAGAATCAACGACAGCCACCAGGAATAGCTTCTTACATCATGTTTCAATACCACATTGCCTCCCTCCATATTAGGTGTTTATTACCTAGGTAGAGAATCTTGCCTTGACTCGTATCACCATGTGCTTCACCAAGTGAAGCTGGAGCAACCTCATCAACCAGCTCTGCGAACCCCTAACAATCACAGTCTACGTCAAAAAACCACGCCCCTTATTTCTCAAAACAGCATACGGCCAATGAGAGTCGACCAAACCTCATCTCCGCGCCGCCGCTCAGAGTTGAACACCGAATCACAACTCCGAGTCGTACCAGGCTGACGGTCAGAGTAATACCTCCAAGAAGTGAGATAAGCGCAATCTATTCTCGCCTGGCACTGCATTATTGCAGCTATTCTTATTCCCCGCATCAGCTCCTCCAGACCCGCCTCATACGGCAGTTGATCTCGCCTTACACGGCAGCTGTCTGCGTACATAGAGGTAGGTACCAGTCCAGAACAGGGACCCAGGGAATGGGAGAGAGGGCTGAAAGCGGTGGAACCATCAGCTCCAGTCATCTGTTCTTTTAAAGTCTACCAATGATGACGCTGGTTTCAAAAAGGTCGTTTATTCGTCTGACAGGGTCTCACAGCATGACGTTCGAACAGGCCGAGGGTTGTAGGGTCGTACATGCAGTGTACACACGCGGGGGAGAAGCTTATTCGTCTGACGCACGACTAAGCCCTACGTAAGGGGTACTTACCTACCTAAGTAGTCAGGGGTAACACCGTTCGGTGGCACGGCAGATATGCGACGTGTCAGTTGACCGTTGACTTTTAACTTCCGCTTCGCATCTGTGGAGTGCAGCAAGTTGTACCACCCCCTTCGCATCTGTGGAGTGCAGCTGTACCACCCGTTTCCCCGGACTCTGGGAGCCAGTGAACGGTCATCACTGTCTGATGTGTGTATCTTACCTTACTCAACATCTGGCATACAACGTCTGTGTGAGCAGGCATGACAAGGAGACAAGGATCTGCCTCTATGCAGTCATCCGGCAGTCGGATTTAGCCAGACCATCACAAAGCCACAAACTGGGGTAGATGTAAGGATCTCGACCCTTGAATCTTGATGCTGTGAAACAGTGCGTTCTAGAACTACCTACCTCTAGGCCTTTGCAGACTTCGGGGACACAATAAAATCTCTCGGACTCTCATGTCATGTCAGATGCTGTCGGATTACACTCCAGTGAGGCAAAGCAGGTAACGCAGGCAAGACAAGGGTCCATACATGTAAGGCAGACGGCTGTCCGATGCACTCAACCGTTGATGAATCCAGACCCTTGTGCTTGGAGCTTGGAGCTTGGAGGGGAAGTCTTTCCAATATCGTAGAGTTATTTGGCGGCAGGAGCATAGCCTAGTAGACAAATGAATGCTTACCTCTACTATGACTACGGTACCTCTAGATGTAGATACCTGTTGAGCGGCAGGTGTGAACGTGAACCTTGAGGGCTGACCGGAAAGGACAATAGGACAGACAACTCAAGCTCCTTCTCTGTTTCCTTCCATGTTATGTTCTTGCTGGAAATTTTTTGGGGCCAGGGTTCCATGCTTCGTTCAAAGTCAGACTTTCGGCCTCGCGGATAAAGCAGTTAAAGAGAAAGAGACGTAAAGGTGAAAGAGAAGGGGGGGAGAGGAAGGGGAAGTTGAAACAAGGGTGAGAAAGACCATGAACGGGCACTCAAGTGTAAAAGAAGAACCGAGCAAGCAAGCAAAACGTGAAAGACACTGACTGCAACAACTACCAGGACTATTTACCTACCCTCGTACTCCCGTGCAAACCAAGATCATGAGCACATAGAGCTACCTCTAGCCATGACAACATCCTTTCTTCCTCCCTTCCCTCCCCTCCTTCCTTGCCTTCCTTCCTTGCCTTCCTTCTTCCTTCTCCCCATCTACCGACATTCAACCAGCCAACCAGATTAACACATCCCATGGAGCACAGCCCAAAACCGATACGACGGGTGCAGTCGGTGTACCAAGTAAGCGAGATCAGAGGTTCAATAAACAAACCTACCCACCTTACAAACCTCAAAAAGGTCTTGGCGCTGCGTCTATAAATGAATGATCAATATCTACCTACTATGTAATATAAACCGTAAGCAACGTAGATTAGCCAACTGGAACCGAGCCGAGCGGTAATGGCGCCTGATGGCCTGTCGAGCTTTAGTGCTGTAGTGCTGTAGAGTTCCTAGTATACCTACCTGCGTGCATTTTGGTAATCGTATGTTCTGGATTTCCCGGGGCACCTGGCTGACGGTTGATGGTTGATGCCCGATGGTGACACTGGGTCCTTCGGGGTAAGCATGATCGGCAGCACACTCGTTGTTGTTGTTGATGATCGGGCGTTGAGGTCGATGAAGACTTCTTAGGCGTGATGCCGTAATTGACGGGACTGATCAAAAGTGGACAGGGCAGTAGACTTGAGGAGGCCGAAAAAAGCAGGGTTGGTTCTACTGGTGATATGAAGATGCCAAGAAAAAAAAAGTATCAAAAGTCGATTTTGAACTCCTCCAGACCAAAACTATATATGTATGTAGGTATGTATGTCCAAGAGTTCTATGCAAGAAAAAGTGCCCCATCTATATATCTCATCTCATCTCCTCTCCCCTCCCCTCCACCCCCTTTCCCATTTCCCCCCATTACGCCGTCTTCTTCTCAACCACTTCCTTCTCCCCCTTCTTGACCTCCCCCTCCTCCGTCATCAACATCTCCTGCGCCCTCCACAACTGCGCATACACGCCATTCCTTTCCATCAACTCTCTATGCGTCCCTTGCTCCGCCACCCTCCCTTCCTTCAACACAATAATCAAATCCGAATCATAAATCGTCCTCAACCGATGCGCCACAAACAGACTCGTCTTCTTCTCGCCCTTTTGGCCCAGCCCTTTCAAGATGGCATTGATATTCTCCATCAGCGCCTGCTCGGTATGCGTATCCAGCGCACTCGTCGCCTCGTCAAAGAACAGCAGCGGTGGGTCTTTTAGGATGAGACGCGAAACAGCCAGTCGTTGTTTCTCGCCGCCGGAAATCATTAGTCCGCGCTCGCCCACCTTGGTGTTGTACCCGTCTCGCCAGGAAATGATTTTCTCGTGAATGTGCGCGGCCTTGGCGGCTTCGATGACTTGCTCCGGCGTGGCGGATAGGTTGCCGTAGCGGATGTTGTGCTCGACCGTGTCGTTGAAGAGGGGCGTGTCCTGCGGGACGACGCCGATGGCTCTACGAAGAGACTCCAAGGTGACGGAGCGGATGTCTTGGCCGTCAATGTAAATGGCGCCCTTTTGGGGGTCGTAGAACCTGAACAGCAGACGGAGAAGGGTGGACTTGCCGCACCCGGAAGGCCCGACGATGGCGACCTTCTTGCCGGCGGGGATGGTGAGACTCAGATCGCGCAGGATGGGCGACTCGGGGTGGTAGCCAAAGGTGACGTCCTTGAACTCGATTTCGCCGCCGCGGGTGAGGGTGAGGGGCTTGGCGTTGGGTTGCTCCTTGATGGTCACATTGACTTTTTGCAGGTTGAAGAGGGTTTCCATGTCGAGGAGGGACTGGCGCAATTCGCGGTAGACGGAACCGAGGAAGTTGAGCGGGACGGAAAGCTGGAAGACGAGCTGGTTGATCAAGACCAGGTCGCCGACGGTGAGCTGGCCGGTGGCGACGCCGTGGGCGCCCATGTACATCATGACCGTCAAGGCGGAGGAGAAGATGATGTTTTGACCCGAGTTGAGAAAGGCAAGGGAGGTGGCAACCTTGATGCTGTTCTTCTCGTATTGGGCGAGGGCCTTGTCGTAGCGGCCGACCTCGTAGGCTTCGTTGTTGAAGTACTTGACGGCTTCGTAGTTGATGAGGGAGTCGACGGCAATGGTAGAGGCCTTGTTGTCAGCCGCGTTGGCTTGGCGACGGAACTTTGTGCGCCAGGCTGTCGTAAGAATGGTGAAGGCCGTGTAGCTGACCATGGTCAGGGCCGTAAGAGCGGCATACTGCCAGCCAAAGTTGTAGGTCAAAATACCGCAGACCATGCTGATTTCCAGGGCGGTAGGGACAATGTGGAACACCATGCTGGTCAAGAGGAAGCTGATGCCCTTGGTACCACGGTCGATAGCCCTGGTCAAACCACCCGTCTGCTTGGACAGATGGAAGCTCAGATCCAGATTCAGCAGATGCTCAAACGTGTTCCTTGCAACCTTGCGAATTGCCTTTTGCGCCACCGACGCAAAGACGGCATTCCTCAGTTCCTGCGAAACCACAGCGCCTACCCTAGCCGCACCATAACCGAGAATCATGGCGCCCGCCACGGCCGTGACGGACCCGCCCGTTGTAGAAAAGTCAATGTTGAGCGAGTCGACAATCTCGCGGAAGTAGAAGGGCACCTGGACGTTGAGCACCTTGCCACCGACGAGCAAGCCGATAGCTAGCAGTACTCGTGCCTTGTCGCCCCAGCTGCCCTTGGGCCACAGGTATTTGGACATTTCCTTCATGATGGCCCAATCGGCCTTGCGCTGTTCCTGCGCGGTTTTATCGATGGCGGCAAGGGGATCGGAGGGGCCTCGACCGGTGGTCTTGGGTACGGTGGAAAGTGCGGGTTTCGGTTCATCTTTGGCGCTGCCGTTGGGCGCAAAGAGACGGGGGGAGGACGTGGTGAAGGAAGCTCGGAGGTTGGCAATCGTGGGTGTCGCGTGGATGGAGGAGAGTCGGGGTGCCCAGAGACGGGGGCCGCGGAGGAGGGCGGAGGTGCCGTGGGCTCGATGGAGGCTGGTAGCCATGGTGCTGAGCTTTATAGACGGCGCCATGGTTGTTGCTGTGTGTGCCCCGGGAGCATTGGCTGCTCCTCGAGGGGGGTGTGGTGGTGCTCTGTATAAGTCGGTCGGTATGGGTGTTCAATGGAAGGGGAGGGGAATTCGCGCCAGCTCTTATAGAGAGCCCATGCCGTGGTGGTGGTTGTAGACTGGCAATGGGTGGTGGAGGAGGTGGGAGGTAGGTATCGGTGACTCGGGGAAGGGATATAGAAAAGAGATGGGATTGTCAAACTGAAAGATTGCCTTTACCCCCCGTGCAACAACATCACCAAGTAAACCGCCGAGGCTTCGTACTTCGGAGCTTCACAAAGTCGCGATTGTGGGGCATCCACAATGATGCAATCAGCCTGAGCAATGGGCATCTCTAGGTACCTAGCCTGCCGCGGGTGCCGCCGTAGTGTCTTACAGGGGTCCAGCTGTGCACAGACCCGGCTGGCTGGACTTCAGGGTTCTCAATGCCCTAACATTCTTGTGGAGCTTTGACCAATTACACGCAGCCGGCCGGCATCTAGCAAAGTTCCGTCCAGCGTCTTCGGCATCCCTCCGGCAGTCCGGCCGCAACGCCGTATCTATGGCCGGCACAAAAAACACTAGTCCCGGTATAAATGCCGAGACTAGAAAGTACTTCTACTCCGACCGGTAGTCAGACACCAATCATCACTTTGCGTTCTTGACTATATCAGCCTCACTCATCAACTTAGTCGTATACCGCCTTTTAGTTCTTGTGAATTTCTTCCTATTCTCTTCTTCTTCCATATCCAAGTCTAGAGTACCTTAGAAGAACGTGACATGACATGTCTAGGCAATCATGCCAAAGCTACCTAAGAAAAGGAGTGTGCTAAGAAAGACCGACGACACCAAGGGGGGCATGAACTCTTCATCACCCCTCCAATAGTGAATGAAAACAAACATCAACGCCTCGCAATGCAGGAAACAGACAAAAAAATGAAACGAAAAATCGGGCGCATAGTTCCCCATGCAAAAGACAATGCCATGCAAAAGAATAGCCAATGCCGTCTTGCCAATGTGATGTGAAATGCTGAATGAATGCCGTGAAGCAAAATCCAACTCTGCAAGTCCAACCAACTCCCCCGTCCAGTGACTCCAGCCAGCCCTCAAGCAAAAACGACAAAACCAGCTCTAGCTCTAGCTCTAGGTTGGTGAAACCGCAATGCAATGCAATGCTCCCGATGCTTCTCTTTCTCTCTTTTCTTCACCCCCTCTGGCCCTCCTTTTACTCATCTTTCGTCTTCCATCTACCCATCTGCCCGCCTTTCTCTCTCGCCCTCTTTTTCTTTTCTCTCCGCCTCCTTTTCACTTCCCGTCTTCTTTTTCTTCTCCTCTCACACTCCCTCCCATCTCCTTCCTTCTCCACGGAAAAAGACCTCCCCTAAAAAGTCTCCGTCTCATCATAATACGTCTTCAGCGCCAACTTGCTGCTCAACTCAGCCGCAACCGCCAACCCTTCATACGCCCTCTCCACCGTCCTGACGCCCACGCCCGGAACCGTCGTCAACTCGCCCAAGCTCCTCACTTTCCCGCTCGGTCCCTGCGTATCATCCAAATGATCCACCAGATCCTGCGCGCGCTTCTGTCCGAATCCACTAAGGGACTTGATCAGCTCGGTATCGCGCGAATTGACAATATCCAGCAACTGCTTCGTTCTCGGGCTCGGTTCTTGCGAAGACTGTTGTTCCGGATCCGAATTAGAAGCAGAGCGGTCATCGTAATCGGAGCCCGTGTCGGTCGTCGTGTTGCTGTACAACTGCTGTCTTGACCTGCTAGAAATGCCCACGCCTAGTGTAGCACTGCGGCCTCGCGACTTCAACAGTCTCCTCCTCCTCGCTTCTGCTTCTTCGGGCGTCTCTTCCACGTCGGCTTCCATGTCGTCGTCAAGATCCTCCTCGTCCACTTCCGCGTCAGTCGAAGAAATCCCCGTCATGGCTGTTCGTCGTCCGCTGGTGACGCTCGCGCTCCTGCTTTGCTGTATCGCACTTCCAACTCGGTTGCCTTGTCGTGAACCAGCCTCTTCATCCCTCAGTTGCGCACCAACTTCGTAGTCCTCCCTACTAATCTTGCCCAACTTCAACTTGAGTTTCTCAATCTTGCCCACCAACTTCCTTTGCCCAGGGAAGAATCCCAGCGCATCTTCGTACATCCCCAACGCCTCTTCCAATTGGCCCGCCTCTTTTGCCTTTCTGGCCTCTAGCAATAACTGCAACCCCGCACTTTTCTCGTCCCTTCCGCCGCGTCCCCGTCGCGAACTAGATCGTGAAGTACTCATGCTCTGCTCTTCGATCCTCCTCTCCAGCGCCTCCAATCTTCTCTGCACCTCCTCGCTAATCCGCGGCTCCGACGACTTGGGCCGCTGCTGCTCGCTCCCCGGGGGGTGGTGGTTATCCGATCTGGGCGTAGAAGGGGTAGGTGTCTGCGGGGCGAGGGCAGCGGCGGCTGCTGCGCGGGCAGCCAAGATCTCGGCGACCTTTTTCTCGACCATGGCTTCGATCTGGGCTGCTGAGAGGGTAAGGATGGGCGTGTTGTCTACTGATTTGCTTGTTTGCTGTGGGGGCTGGATGGAGCCCGAGGAGCTACTGTTCTGGCGGGAGACACCAGCGGAAACCGAGCCGGGTAGCGGAAGCCCAGTAGGCCGCGCCAGTTTCGATGCTCCCGTGCCGATGAGTCCTGAGCGAAGGGCTGATGTTTCGGTGCTTGAGGAAGAAGCGGGAGTGGTGTCGGTCATGGAGCGCCGCGAGGCTAGTCCTCCCGACAAAGAAAGAGGCTGGCGGATCTGCGACGTGTTGGCTTGTGGTGGGCCGGCGAGTCGTGAAGAGCTGCCGCCGCCCATGGACGCCGTGGCTTTGTGTGCTGAAGCGCGGTCGGCGTACACGTTGAAGAGCTTGGAGGGCTTTTCGATCTTTTCAATGACTGCTCCCGAGGCGGCGGCGCGGTCGATGCTGGAGCGGGCTAGAGCGGGCGCACTGCCCGTGTACGAGTTCTGAGTGCCTAGGCCGATCGGCCGCAATGGCTGGCGAGGGGCCAGAACGCCATTGGTTAGACCGCTGAACGAGGTCGAGCTGTGCGAGCGGTGCGGCTGCTTGTAGACGACTTCGTTTTCAATCTCGCGAACTTCGATGCGCTTGGCGCGGGACGAGACGTTCAGACTGCTCAAGGTGTCGAGGTGGTAGGAGCGCATCGGGGCCAAATTGAGAATCATGATGGTGATGCCGTTGTTCTGGCCCAGACTGAGAATGCGCGTCATTTTGGATTCGCGGTAGGGAATGCGCTTGTCGCCGCGCGAGATGGCGTCAATACATTGCGACAGAACGAACAAGGACTTGTTGATGGCGGCCGACTCGATCATGCGGTCCCTGTTGTTGTCGGTCCTTCTGTTGTCTTCGGAGCCCGCCAAGTCGATGGCCGACGCCGTGCTTTCCAACACCATGTCGCCTGTTGTTTGTGTGACTTTGACGCGAAGGATGGCGTGACTGCGGGAGCTGTGGGCGTTGAGCTTGGTGGCGGCTGTGACGCGGTTGTTGTTGGCTTCGACGTAGAGCCTTTCAAAATCCGTCACGTCGTCGCAGGGCCGTTCCGTCAGCCCGACCACGAACGTCTTTCCCTCCTTTTCTCGTAGGGGCAAACCCATCGGGGTGCGCATCTCGGGCGGTTCGAGCAGATCGTATACCTTGTCGTTGTAGATTTCGTAGTACGAGAGGTGGACGTCGACTGTGGTCTCGCCGTTGGAGTCCTTTTCGATCTTCTTGCCGCGCCGGAACACGTTGCTCAATAGTCGAGGAATGAGACCGCGGTCGTCCATCTTCATGCCACCACGCATCGTGTGCGTTTTGCCTGTGCCGGTCACACCATAGGCGAATATTGTCACGTCGAGGCCTTGGAAGAGGGCCTTGATGTGAGGGTAGACTGCATGTTGTTGTTGTCAGTGATGGGGCAGTCCTTCGTTGGGACCCCAGCCACACAGTCGGTGAAGAGAGAGAGAGAGAGGAAGATGATGATGCCTACCTTCAGCATTGAAGAGGTCCTCCTGGGTACATGATTGGTCGTAGACGCTGTTGAAAATATACGAGAACTCTTCGGTTTCGTTTTTTGGGTTGGGGATCTTGACGATGGTGAAGGGCTTGCCTTCGTCGGTGCTGGCGGCGCGTACAATGACATCCTTGTCCAGCTCTTTCTTCAGCAGCGGACGTATCCTGGCGACGACACGGACAGACATGGTTCGGTTGTCGGCCGGTGTCGCGATGACAGAAAGATACTAGAATGAAAGGGGGGAAGGGGGAGTAGGTTAGAGGTAGGGATGGGGACAACAAAGATAGGACGACGGCTCCCGAGAAGGATACATCAAATGAAAAGGGGAGGAAAAGGATAGGTAGAGGTAGGAATAGTGAATGGGATGGGATGGGATATGGGATAGGATATGGAATGGGGACCCCAATGAGTTGGTTGTAGGGTAGGGTAGTGTAGTGTAGTGTAGTGTAGACGTGTAGTGTGATGTGTGATGTGTGTGTGTACAAGTAAAGAGACAGAAAAAAGCAAAACTGAAAAGAGTGAAAAAAAAAGGATGGGGTTGGGCAATGGCCTCTTCACTTTCCTTCAGTTCTCCTCCTCCAGCCTCCAGCCTCCAGTTAGTTGACAGTTCAGTTGACCCTCTCCGCCTTGTGACCAGGGCAGGGATCAGAATCCAAGTGATCGGACGGGAAGAGTGGAATAAAAGGAGACGGACGGTCAACAAATGGCCGATCGATGATCTGATATTGGGTCCCCAAGTGAGGGGGGGAGTGCAGTGGACAAGCAAACTGACACAATGTCGAGTAGCAATTGGCTTCTCTCCCGTCGACGTCCCCGTAGTCTGCACGGGTGCGGCAAGCAGGAGAGTCTCAGCACGTTGCCGTCGCCAGGGCTTCCCACTTGTCTGTCTGTCTGATGAACAGCCAAGTGTGTGTGTGTGGATGGATGGAGTCGGGACTCGGGATGTGAGCCAACAGGGGACCATTTCAGTTAACCGAGCAACGGAGGGGGGAACAACGCACCCGAACTACACCTAAGCAATTGGCTCTCAGCGGCCTCTTGTCAACAGCTTGTCCCGCTAGTGAGACACTGGAATGACTGGGCAATGCAGTGTTGCTGCACTAACTGTGGGCTATTGTGGGGTGCAGCCGATGGGATCGCTGCTGTGATCTGGCTGCAGTGAGCTGTTGCTGTTGTGGCTGCCATTTTACAGTGCTTGCAGCGGGAGCAATGGAATGTGCTGGCGGCAGGCAGGAACCATTTCCCGTGGTGGTCTGTGCACTTTCCTCTTCAGTGATTCAGTCCCAAAAAGCTAAAGGCTTATCGATAGCGGCCGGCTACCTTCCCCGCGGCCGGCGGCCAAGTCTGGAAGGGAATGAATGGAATTTCTCGGACAAGGAAATCGCGACATTGGACGAATCCAAGGTGGTCCGTGTCCCTCAACTGAAGCTAACGAAATACAGTAGGGTGCCCTGTTAATACTAAGCCCCCTTAATGCAAAAAGCCCCCCTTTTGCTAAAGATTTCGGCTGCCCGCATTCCCTCTAGTAGGTAGGACTGCTAACTACTAATTGCAATACTAACGGCCCGGATTTGCATTAGGGGGGCTACTAATTGGTCAATACGGGCATCTGATAGTTGTAGACGGCCCGCCAGACTCAGGGTTAGGGTCTTAGAAACTTCTAGATCCTACACTCAATCAGCCTAAATTATATTTAAAATACTCTAATTTTACAACTCTTTTACCCACTTTCACTTACCCACCCTTTTACCCACCCTACTACCTACGTTCAACCGCCCTCTTTTACCTACCCTATTTATAAAAGACTAGCTCCCTATATATTTTTATTAGTAATCCTATTCCTAATAAAATAATAGTACAATACTTAAATAGAAATACTGATTTGGGGTGGTATATGGGAATATATGTATTGGTTTTCAGTAGTGATTTTTTTTTTTTAAAAATTTTCAAAGTATATAGGATCAGGGAAGTACTTTCTAGATTGAGCAAACCTGGACAGTTAGTATAGAAAAAGAATGGAAAAAGAAGGAGATCGAATATAAGGAAATAGGATGAGAGATTAATAGAATATTAACCTTTTATTAAACTAAATAATTAATTTCTATCTCTTTAGCAATTCTTAATTATATAAAATTAATTTTTAATAGTTACTAATTATTTATCTTTATTTATTTAGTATACTAAGTAATTCTTTATTCTTCTTAGGGAAATGCTTATTCGTATCCCTATTTACATCCGAAAGAAAGATATAGAAAGATCCGATAATTACCCTCGTTTTCCGGCGAAAACTGAATATTAAACCATTCAACAAATACGTAACTCCAATAAATCGTATCTAACTTAATACCTCCCATCTCAACTATCCGAAAAAACTTAAAAATTATTTACCACTCTACCTAATCAAATAACTAAGAACTATAGTCCTTATATATTATATTAATCGTAATAGTATTAATATTATTATTATAGTTTTCTCGCTATTTCAAATTAGTAATAAGGATAAAATAAATTTTAAAACTCTATATTAAACTAATTAAAACGAATATAGAGAATTTACAATTTCCTATCCTCGTTGAGGTTTGCCCGATATTTATCAACGATATTTAATTAATCGTTATGAAAAAATTTAAATAGCCTTATTTCAAAAAAGAATAAAAATCTTTAATACCGGATACTTACTATAATCTAAGGCCCTCGATAATAACCGACATACAGCTACATTAATAACCGTACTACAATTAGTAATAATATAATTAATCAATAATCACCCGATTACTACTCGGATATAACGTTAGAATACGAATAATAGTATAATTAACTAATAAAAAAAATATATAAATAAATATCCAAACAATAATAATTAAATGCAAATAAATATAAACGATAAATAAATTACTAAATAATGATAATTCGATTATATAACTTAATAAATAAATAAATATTTAATTAATAATATTTAAATAATAATAAGAATAGACGATTAATAAATTATTTAAATAGTAGTTTAATTAAAAGACTATTTGAGAATAATAAATAACGAAAAAATCTATCGATAATTAGAATAAATATTAATATTAAGCTTTTAAAGACTACTATCTTTAAATTAATAATATATAACCCCTACCTAAATATAGAAAAATTAGATAACCCTTAGACCCTTTTCTTTAAAAATTTATAATTAATTCCTTAAAGGGAAGGGTATTAATTATTATCTCTGAATTCCTCCTTCGTAAAATATATCGACTATTATTATTAATAAACTCTCAGGATCGTAATTATTACTATTATTATATTTTAAAGAACCGAAAGGAAGTAATTAATTACTATAAATCTTTATTAAAAAGGCTTTAATAATAATATTATTAATATAAATAGGAATTACCTCTCATTAATACCGATAATAGAAGTAGTAAGAAGGAAAAGAATAAAGAATAAGAACTAAAGAAATTCCTTTTATTTAAAAAAAAAAAAAAGGGACATTAGAAGAATAAAAAGAAGAACGCTAATAAGAGATCTCTAATTAGAAAAGGTATATAAATACTTTACTAGAAGAGAAATAATTAAAAGAAAAATAAAGATCTTTAACCGAAAAAAAGAAAAGAAAGAAGGGTAGAACGAAAAATAAAACGAAAATAAGTACGTAAAATAATATAAATAATACTAATAAAATCCAAAATAATTAAAATATTTTTATAATTTTAATTTCGGATATTAATTAGGGAGTATTAAATTAACCTCCTATATTAGTACTAAAACTATTTTTATTATCTCTCCTAAATTCTACTCTTCCTTCCTCTATTCTTATATTAAAAATTACTTTTTTTCCTTTTCTAAAACTTAATCAATTTCTAATACCTTTACTAATCTTATTAAAAAACCTATTGCCAATCCCTTTAGGGAATCCTTCACCTAACTTAAATAAAAAAGACCGCTATTAAATCCTTTATTATAGGGATAATAATAAATATAATTAACCTACTATTTAAAACCTATTATTAAACTTATTTAATTTTATTCGTACCCTATATTTATATATTTTATTTACCCCTCTATTTAACGTTCGAATTTAATTTCCGCCTTTTCGTATTATTTTTTTATAATTTATTTAATCGCTTTTAGAATTTTATTATACTAAATTAAAAATTAATTATTCCCAAAGTTTTAAATTTAAATAATATCTTCCGAACCCCCAAGACTATTATCCTATTACCCCTACTTCTACCCTTTTTAATAATTATTAATATCCTTCTTTAAAATTATTAAAATTAAGTATTATAATACTTAAATAATCCGAATAGCTGTAAGAGCCTAAGTATAAATTATAGTAAAATTTAAATATAGACCCGCTTAAAAGTTTATTTAATATATATTTAGTACAAATATTAATAAGTAAAATTCTTACAATTTCCTTCGTAAAGGACTATACGTCCAATATACAATTTAAAGAGAAGAATATATTTATATATTTAGAGGAATTTAATAATAGGGTTTAAAATTATTACTTTTCTAATAAAATTAAATTAAATACCTAATACTAATAGTATATACTAGATGCCCGAAAAATTTATAGAAAAATAGCGAAGGATATTACTAATAAAGGTACTTAAATATAAAAAAAATTCTATTGTCTTCTAAAATAAGAATTTTTAATACTAGACCCTAATTAAATAAATAGTAAAGTTATTTTACTAAAAGTCTTTTATAATAAATTAATTCCCTATAATAAAAAGAAGATTATTAAAATAGTACTTTAATATTTAGTACTTCTAATGAAATAACTGAATAAAGAAAAGAATTTTATTTAATCTATAGTAATATACAATTTCTATAAAAAATTTATAAAGAGGATTAGGCGAATAATTATAACGACTATAGGGCTTTAAAGAAAAAATCTATTAAATAACTTAATTATAGTTCTATACTGAAATAATTAAGGCTATTTATAAGTATTTTAACTTCGAAGATAATATTCGTACTAATAATAAAGTAGTTATTTTATTAAACGATAGCCTTAATATAAATCGGACTAAAAAGAAAGTATTAATAATCGTTAAAAAAAAAGGCAATTTAATTAAATTAAATAACAATTCCAACCAGCCTTTTTATAAAAAAATTCCTTTAATAAATTAAATTACTATTTCAACGCCCACCATTTCCTACTTAATTAAAAAATTAGATATTAATAAA